ATGACGATATAGGCGAAAAATGCTTTTTTCAGCAATGGATTACACATAATTTTAAAATTTTGTACCCATCGACTTCATATGTATTGTGTAGAGTTTAAAAACTTTTTTAATATCAATCAATAAAATCTCGTGCCACTTGGGCGGAAAGACATGTGAGTAATGTTTGAAAAGTGCATAATTTTACGATTTTTCACCTATGACAATTTATGCGAAATAGACTTTTTTCAGCAATGGATTACGCATAATTTTAAAATTTTGTACCCATCGACTTCATATGTATTGTGTAGAGTTTAAGAACTTTTTTAGTATCAATCAATGAAATCTCGTGCCACTTGGGCGGAAAGACATGTGAGTAATGTTTGAAAAGTGCATAATTTTACGATTTTTCACCTATGACGATATAGGCGAAAATGCTTTTTTTAGCAATGGAATTACACATAATTTTAAAATTTTGTACCCATCGACTTAATATGTATTGTGTAGAGTTTAAAACTTTTTTATATCAATCAATAAAATCTCGTGCCACTTGGGCGGAAAGACATGTGAGTAATGTTTGAAAAGTGCATAATTTTACGATTTTTCACCTATGACAATTTATGCGAAATAGACTTTTTTCAGCAATGGATTACGCATAATTTTAAAATTTTGTACCCATCGACTTCATATGTATTGTGTAGAGTTTAAGAACTTTTTTAGTATCAATCAATGAAATCTCGTGCCACTTGGGCGGAAAGACATGTGAGTAATGTTTGAAAAGTGCATAATTTTACGATTTTTCACCTATGACGATATAGGCGAAAAATGCTTTTTTCAGCAATGAATTACACATAATTTTAAAATTTTGTACCCATCGACTTAATATGTATTGTGTAGAGTTTAAGAACTTTTTTAATATCAATCAATGAAATCTCATGCCACTTGGGCGGAAAGACATGTGAGTAATGTTTGAAAAGTGCATAATTTTACGATTTTTCACCTATGACGATATAGGCGAAAAATGCTTTTTTCAGCAATGGATTACGCATAATTTTAAAATTTTGTACCCATCGACTTCATATGTATTGTGTAGAGTTTAAGAACTTTTTTAATATCAATCAATAAAATCTCATGCCACTTGGGCGGAAAGACATGTGAGTAATGTTTGAAAAGTGCATAATTTTACGATTTTTCACCTATGACGATATAGGCGAAAAATGCTTTTTTCAGCAATGGATTACACATAATTTTAAAATTTTGTACCCATCGACTCTATATGTATTGTGTAGAGTTTAAGAACTTTTTTAATATCAATCAATAAAATTTCGTGCCACTTGGGCGGAAAGACATGTGAGTAATGTTTGAAAAGTGCATAATTTTACGATTTTTCACCTATGACGATATAGGCGAAAAATGATTTTTTCAGCAATGGATTACACATAATTTTTAAAATTTTGTACCCATCGACTTCATATGTATTGTGTAGAGTTTAAAAACTTTTTAATATCAATCAATAAAATCTCGTGCCACTTGGGCGGAAAGACATGTGAGTAATGTTTGAAAAGTGCATAATTTACGATTTTTCACCTATGACAATTTATGCGAAATAGACTTTTTTCAGCAATGGATTACGCATAATTTTTAAAATTTTGTACCCATCGACTTCATATGTATTGTGTAGAGTTTAAGAACTTTTTTAGTATCAATCAATGAAATCTCGTGCCACTTGGGCGGAAAGACATGTGAGTAATGTTTGAAAAGTGCATAATTTTACGATTTTTCACCTATGACGATATAGGCGAAAAATGCTTTTTTCAGCAATGGATTACACATAAGTTTAAAATTTTGTACCCATCGACTTCATATGTATTGTGTAGAGTTTAGGAACTTTTTTAATATCAATCATTAAAAAAACCGTGCCACTTGGGCGGAAAGACATGTGTGTAATGTTTGAAAAGTGTATATATTTACAATTTTTGACCTATGCCGATATTTGAGAAATAGGGACATTTCAGCAATGGTTTACGCATAATTTTAAAATTTTGTACCCATCGACTCAAGTTGTTTTGTGTAGACTTTTAGAACCTTATTAATATCAAATAATAAAATCTCTCCCCACTTAGGCGGAAAGCCATGTGACCATCGTTTGAAAAGTGTATATATTTACGATTTTTAACCTATGCCATTTTTGAGAAATAGGCACTTTTCAACAATGGGTTACGCATAATTTTAAAATTTTGTACCCATCGATTCAAGTTGTTTTGTGTAGACTTTCAGAACCTTATCAATATCAAATAATAAAATTTCTCCCCACTTGGGCGGAAAGCTATGTGACCATCGTTTGAAAAGTGTATATATTTACGATTTTTAACCTATTCCGATATTTGAGATATAGGCACTTTTCAGCAATGGATTACCCATAATTTTAAAATTTTGTACCCTTAGACTCAAATTGTTTTGTGTAGACTTTTAGAACCTTATCAATATCAAATAATAAAATCTCTCCCCACTTGGGCGGAAAGCCATGTGACTAACGTTTGAAAAGTGTGTATTTTTACGATTTTTTACCTATGCCATTATTTGAGAAATAGGCACTTTTCAGCAATGGATTACGCATAATTTTAAAATTTTGTACCCATCGACTCAAGTTGTTTTGTGTAGACTTTCAGAACCTCCTCAATATCAAATAATAAAATCTCTCCCCACTTGGGCGGAAAGCCATGTGACTAACGTTTGAAAAGTGGTATATATTTACGATTTTTGACCTATGCCGATATTTGAGAAACAGGCACATTTCAGCAATGGATTACGCATAATTTTAAAATTTTGTACCCATCGACTCAAGTTGTTTTGTGTAGACTTTTAAAACCTTATCAATATCTAATAGTAAAATCTCTCCCCACTTGGGCGGAAAGCCATGTGACTATCGTTTGAAAAGTGTATATATTTACGATTTTAAACCTATGCCATTATTTTAGAAATAGGCACTTTCAGCAATGGATTACGCATAATTTTAAAATTTTGTACCCATCGACTCCAATTGTATTGTGTGGAGTTTAAGAACTTTTTTAGTATCAATCAATGAAATCTCGTGCACTTGGCGGAAAGACATGTGAGTAATATTCGAAAAGTGCATAATTTTACGATTTTTCACCTATGACGATATAGGCGAAAAATGCTTTTTTCAGCAATGGATTACACATAATTTTAAAATTTTGTACCCATCGACTTTATATGTATTGTGTAGAGTTTAGGAACTTTTTTAATATCAATCAATAAAATCTCGTGCCACTTGGGCGGAAAGACATGTGAGTAATGTTTGAAAAGTGCATAATTTTACGATTTTTCACCTATGACAATATATCTCAAATAGGCTTTTTTCAGCAATGGATTACGCATAATTTTAAAATTTTGTACCCATCGACTCCAATTGTATTGTGTGGAGTTTAAGAATTTTTTTAGTATCAATCAATGAAATCTCGTGCCACTTGGGCGGAAAGACATGTGAGTAATGTTTGAAAAGTGCATAATTCTACAATTTTTCACCTATGACGATATAGGCGAAAAATGCTTTTTTTAGCAATGGATTACACATAATTTTGAAATTTTGTACCCATCGACTCCATATGTATTGTGTAGAGTTTAAGAACTTTTTTAATATCAATCAATAAAATCTCGTGCCACTTGGGCGGAAAGACATGTGAGTAATGTTTGAAAAGTGCATAATTTTACGATTTTTCACCTATGACGATATAGGCGTAATAGGCTTTTTTCAGCAATGGATTACGCATAATTTTAAAACTTTGTACTTCCATCGACTTCAATTGTATTGTGTAGAGTGTATGAATCTTTTTTATATCAATCAATAAAATCCTCTTTTGACATGTGTCCTTATTTCTGTTTTATTTCAAGGGTAGAGGTTCTTATTCCGGGCGCTCGGGTTGGGCAATTGAAATGATTGATTTGACAGAAATTATATTAGAATCTTATTGATTGCTAGGCGCATTAGCGACAACAACAACAGCAAATTATTGCCACAATAGCCAAGATCAGTTCGTTTATCTAGAAGCAAAATACAACTTAGAAGTGAGATGGAACTAATAGTTTTTAGGACTAAAGAACTTATGTAGCAAATCTTTGCTAATGAAAAGTATGATTGGACCCTGGTCGCTCTGGCATGAATACATTTTGGTTCATTACATTTCGTTCTTTGTTATCTTATGATTATGTTTCCCTGTGTTTTCCTTATTGTGGGGTTAATATCGATGGCAGCCCTGGCTATAGGACTTAGGCCTGTAATTGTCCTGGTTTTAAAACATTTTCAAAGTCGTATATGGATACGTGGTTCTCACGTTATAGTAGCACTGGCATTAATAATGGTATATTCTCTGAGAGTAAACTCCTTTGATTACGAATCTTATTAACTGACTTGCTCAGATCTTATTTTGTTAGACGGGTGAATACTTTTTTGATAAGGTATTTAAAAAATACGGTATATTTCTTGAAATTCTTATCCCTAAGTTACCGTAAAATGTACTTGATTTTACCGCTTATCGGGATGTATTTAGTTCATATCCCAAATTCGAGAGAATTTTCTCCGTGTTGAATTTAGGACTCGCCCATGTTTCACACCACCACTCTTCACTGAACACAGACGAGAGATTCATCGCACCACTACACAGGAATAGAAGAAGGCATGTGAGTCACTTCACAGTGGTCCGTTCGCCCATGTTGACGAAATTGTTAATTTTGTAAAGAGGTGAAGCGGAACGTAGAACAACCAGCGGCGAGACGATTCGAGCCGCATCGATTGAGCTGTAAGCCACAAACACGAAAACGTCGTATGGTTTTTATAACAACAGAAACGGTATTCAGTATTCACTTATCTGTTCTGCTTATATTTCCAAGGCCCCGATATCCAAAACAAATCAAAAATACAGACAGCATTTAGAACAAAGGCGCTTGAATAAGAGCCTGTCACTGCTGAATTAATTAGCATTGTTTCGCCACAACTTTCGCGTGAATAAGGTCCAGGGCTTAAAGTCATAGCCAAGTTTATTTTTTTTCCGAGAAGCAAATTATAAACAGATACGATGCAATAAATATTCGAAAAAGTCAAGAACATAATTTTACTGAGGAAGAAACCAAAGCTGCAGCGGCATACATGCGCTTTAGGTACGACGAACACATGGGATTGGATAAACGAAATGATATGTTGCTATGTTTTGATGTACTGTATAAAAGATCTTTTCAAAAAATTTGTTGCTTTATGCAAGTGCAAGGAATAATGGTTAAACTGCGAGAAAATACCGACAGATGTTGACTCTTATGTTCAATGATTTATGATGCTATGGCTTTATCAAAGTAAAGCTCCACGGGAGATGAGAAAATATTCAGTCCAGTGTGAGAAACAACCGAAAGGAAAATGGTATGGCCATCTAACGATCTTTAACCTTTACAAATAATTTAGAAACTTTTAATCTCAGGATCTTTAGTCCCAGCGCAATAATTTTTTTTGTATGATTTTTTCTCGAATGGAGAATTTAAAAATTGTACGACTTTTTTCTTTCTTCCGGAGAAGGCTTATGTACAAGACATTTTTTATCTACGTATTTCGTTTCATATAACAGTTTTGAAACAGACGCAATTGATTTAGGTGGATGTTTTTCAAGAATTTGTCTTTTACAAAGTCTACAAAATGAAGCTTCATGTCCCTTGGCTATGTCTTCCTCGGGAATACTGACATCGATTTCAGCTTTCCTCCATTCGTGATATTTCATATATGCAGTATGGTTATTGCTTAGATATTTGAGATAGACAACTAAATCTTCAGGACTTTTGAAATCGTCACTATGAATAAAAGAGTTGGGAGGTGCAACAGCTTCCACATCGGCCTTTGTTGGGCCCCAAACAACTGGAACGATACCGGTTTGAAGAGCATTTCGCCAGAATTTCTCAGTAATATAGTCAGGACAATGAATTGAGTTCTCAAACGACAAATAAAATCTGTATGCAAACTCCGGTATTTGTTTCGAGTCAGTTCTTATATTGTCATTGGAAAAACATTTTCCGAATTTATCCAAGTTTAGGCCGGCTTCCACTAGTTTTTTCGCGTATTCCATTCGTTGCATAGCACCATTCGTATGGTCGCAGTTACTTACAAACCACAATGCCTCTCTGGATTTTGATTCCAAATATTCATTCCACCCATAACGTTCTTGAAATGATTTAGATATTCTCAGGGCTAGCTCGCTGTTGCCAAAATAATGTCGAACGTCTGAGTCTCGTCGAAAATAAAAAGTCAAATTGAATATTCCATCATAGGCCGGGTTTTCGAGATAATGCTTGAATGTGAACGTTTTTGACGGCGTTTCCCGTGTCCACAGAACATATACCTGATCATTTCTCCTACGAAACAAATTGTAGCGTTAACACAAAAATAGCGCTGGAAAATTAATATGTTAGTAAGTCAATTACCTGGTACTTCGGTCCGGAATATCCATTTCTTTCAGTCCAATATCGTTGAATAGTAAAACCGCTATGCTTTCTTCTAACACACTTCTGTCATTTGTAACTTGACAGCCACCGCATTGTCGCGATAGAACAAAATTCATGTTTTTAGTTCCTCCACCTTCAACGTCCTTCAATCCTCTCCAAATAAGAATCTTTGGCGAGTAAAATCCAAGTTTAGTTCTTTCTTCTACTAATTTTTTGGAATTCACCGTCCCGACTGCTTTCACATATGTCATATGAGGAACTGCAAAAATATAAATTAACAAACCCGTTTGCCAAGTGCGTGCTTGATATATTCATATTGTGAATACTCCGCTATAAAATCAAATAAACCGATTCCATATACTGTATTATTGCACTACGTTTTAAGTGTAATTAAATCCATGCTCTAACAGAAACAGAATTGGGAGAGATTGATAATTGATTTGTAATTTTCTTATCTCTAAAATGTATCCAAGTAACTTAGCCCGTTCAGACATACATCAAATTATTACAAAATTGTCATAAAAAAATCAAATCGAATTTTGGCAACTTCAACGGAAATAGTTATACTTTTGCCATTATTATTGTTAAAAGAAGTTCCCTATTGCTAAATATGATCCTCTAAACTAGCCATAAACGTTACCTTGCGATTTGTTTCAGTGGCCAAACGATCATGTATAGCAGGGGTCGGGAACCCATGGCTCGCGAGCCATATATGGCTCTTTTGGTGACGGCATATGGCTCCCAGAAAAATCTAATATTCTAAGACTAAGCTTACTATTGTTACGAGATCCCAAACTCTTTTATAAGCCGAATTTGGCAGGAAATACCCAATACGTTTCAGAACACGCGCCCAGCACATGTCTATGTTATGTAAGACATTTACTAGACAGGCATTGTGACAAACAAGGGGATTCTGAAACATATATTGTGACATCACAAAGCGATATAGTTTTAAAAACACTACGGGGATGCCTAAACGAAAAAGGGTGATGAGTATCGTAGATTTCCACATTGGGCTGCAGGTGAGCAACCGTTCAAGGCCCGCAGCGACCACATGCAGCATCAGAAATCAAATTAGATATATATTGACATTGTATGTGTTGACTTTTGAGTAAACATTTCAGGCCTGATTAAGTGTGAAGAAATGTTATAAGGCTCGCACGGAAATGCAATTAAAAATATGTATATTTTATGGCTCTCTTGACCAAAAAGGTTCCCGACCCCTGATGTATAGGATAACAGATGCAATTTGCTGAAGGAATTATTTGTTTTTAAACATTTGTGTAAAACCAAAGTTTTTGCAGGTGTTGCTACAATGAAATGTATTGTATGAAATAACCTCTCTCTTCAAAACAAGACTTTTAATAATGCAAGTCGAGCACCAGCAGCAAATCCCGAAATATGAATTGCGCATGGTGGCCAAAGTGCCAAACGTGTGGGCTTTTATGAATGCGTGCAGACTTACTTGGCAATGGAAAGTAATCAGCGTCTTCTGGCAATGGCACGTAATTCTCCAACTTGGCGGCATGCATTTTGCCCAAGTCTTCCATATTTCCATCCGGAGCTGTCTCTTGCAAACTTTCATTTTGAAAAGATGTCCTCCGTAAATGTTCTAATGTACTCAATGTAAAAACAGCGGTCGTAAACAATACGACTGTCGTTATTTTGAATGAAGCAGAACGGCCGTGTTGGTTTCGCAGCATCGTTTGAATAATAATAATAATGAAAAATTCTGTATTCGGAAAGAATATGCACGAGTATATTACAATACACCAGTTCAATACAGCCAGCAATCGCTTTAAAATGATTGTTTTGACACCCTTAATTTAGATCTCGGTTGTATCCTCGTTCATATTTACTTCCAATCGATTTCTATATTGCAGAGGTGTATTGTTATTAAAGACTCTTGAAAAGGGGTATATTTTTAAGGATAAACTAGATTACAGGTATCTTATCTTTTATTCACAACATCACTGTATAGTTCAATGCTCCTTTTTTAATTCTAAACATCTTCACTGTCTAATGTTCCGCCAATCAAATTCAAAGCAACTGGTATTCCAATCATATCAGAACTTTTAAATATATCTCTCACATATTTTGGCTTGGATATTAAAGGGCGAGTTAAATCATACCAATTAAATTACAAAAAGTTGCGTCAAAGCTTCCAAAATTTCCTATATCCATCGCGTTATACCAACTAGTATGATAATACTACTATTCATAATCTATTTACCTGAAACTATTTCTTCAGGGCTACTTTTACTAGTCTATATCTCGCTATGTACGATTTCCATATCATCCAAATGAAATAATTATTGTGTTACATCTTTTAATATTTCCCGTCCAACTGACGCGACATTTGCATAATTGCGTCTAATTACTTGGTCAGATTGTAACTTGTTGGACAAAACCAGAAACTTATCCTCAATCGAGCTTGAGTACAGAAGATAAAAGTATTTCGCTATTCAAAGATTCAGTTGTTCATAAGTTTGTGATTCTTTCACTTTTTACTTGTTAGATGGAGCAATTTATAGTAACTCATGTACCGTCCTAACATGTTAATATGCGGTATATTATAACAATTATAAAATCTAATTATTGAAGATTTCAGTGTATTGTTGCCTCCAGGCATCACGGAGTATAACAAAGGCAAATTATTTTTAAAAAAAACTACGTTAATCTGCATGAGTTTTACTTCGATTTTTAATGAAGAAAATAAACTAAATCTTTTCTTTTTATTTTGGTCAAACGTAGTTCTTCTTACAAAGTCATAACTGTACTAATCGACAAGGTTTATGCAGATGGAAAAAATGTCATGAGCACTCCATTCAATTATCAAGTATTTACAAAATACCGTAGGACACTACTATATTACATTTGTGAAGAACTTGAATAGTTTGATTTGGATTGCTTTAAGAAAAATTAACATGCCTGGTAGAATGTTAGTACGGCCAATAGAACTTTTATTGTTTTTATGTTATGTTTTTGATTTTATTGTTTGGTATGTAAGTGTGACATGTATACATAACGATTAAAATTCCTACAGAAATGATGTTAAATGTTTGATTTATTCCATTGCAAAATCCTCAGCACATTTTCCTTTATTTATGACGGCATTGCATCTCTGGGTAGGGGCCTTTCTGTACCTTTAACATGTTCTACAAATTCCATTACCATCATCTAAAAATGATATAAATATGCCGATTTAATAGTGAATCATGGTGACCGTACATTTGAACCCATGTGTATATCCACGGGTTCAATCTATATGCGAGTGCTAAAACCCATGGGTTAGGGTTAGTATGGGTTCAACTATCCGAAAAACAAAAAAAAATTCCATAGGTGCAACTTCATACAGGTGCAATTGTCATGGGTTCAAATGTACGTGGGTTCAAATGTAATGGAACCGTGAATCATATAACGAAACTTTAAGCATACTTCAAAATTTAAACCGGGTATATATATATTCTCAACAACTTCCTGATTTCAATATAAAAATCCATATACCCGATATACCTCACCTGATAACTAAATGGTAGCCATGACACTGGAATGAAGAAAAACTTAGCATCATTTCCGACAACGTATCGATTATTCGGATACTTGCCAAATAAAGCATGTTCATATGCATCCACAACAAGTTCCAATCTGGGAGAGGCTACTGTGTTCAAAAACTTCTTTGTGTGGTCACAAACTATGAATAGACAGAGATCATACTGTTGACATAAGGTATTTATTTAATAAACCATTCAAATGAGAATAAATCATATTATTCCGGAATTCAGTACACTTGGTGGCCCATAGAGAGAGAGAGAGAGAAAATACTGTTTCGTCAAACAGAAAACTGACATCACAACAAATATACAGTAACGGATGCTTTTTCGATATAGATTGAAGAGGGCGATAAATTATACAGTCGTCTAGTTAGTGTGGTTAAAGATATGAGATTCAAGGACTGTTAAATCCATTTATCATTTTCCTCTTTCCGACTCAAAGAAACACAAATGCAGATGTACTGCAACATAATTTATAAGAGTTGGACTGGTTTTACATGTCAAAACAAGGCAAGAACCACGGGATACTAGTTTTTTGAGAAGTTACTTACGTTTATCGCAGTAATCATTTCCGTACTTTTCTTTTGTTTGTTCGTCAAGTTCTGACCACCTTTTTTCTATTTTGGACGAATACTTGCCACCAAATCTGTGCGAAAATATCCAGGTTCCAATGTATGAACGGTGATATTGTATGGTCTCAGTTCAACACTGCAATACGAAAATAAAAGATAACTTTATACTGAGATGACGTACGATTACATTTTGCCCTCCGTGTTATTTAATCATCAATTACAGTGTTAGATTAGAAACTAGCGTGCACTTGAATCTGAATAAATTGTTACGAATCAAAAGTTTGACATTAACCCCGCCGACCACATCGCACAACGCCCACCCACAACGACGAACGATTCGCTGCATTAACCTCAGCATACAATATTGAATTTGCAACAACTCCTACAATATGCAACGACGAAAATAGAGCTAATTTTTCGCTACCATGGTTGAAACAACTGCTGAGTGTTGTTTGTTACTGTGACGCAAGTAAAGATGAACTTGTTGCCGATACTCGACATCGATATACATTGCGGTGTAAGGACTATAAGACTCCTACTATTCAAGATTTTTAAATTCACACTGAGGCACTTTGTTCTTGTAAGACTTTACAAGGGCGACATAACTTAAAATCAATTAGTTTGCAAAAGCTGAGGTAAATAAATATTTAGTTTTACCTTAAACCATCAGAAAAGGCTTCAATTGCATGTTTTGACATTGCATAACCTCCAACCACCCATCCTATTCTTCCATAGATGCTGGCTATGTTGACAATTCTACCTAGATTTAAATATGCATAGCAGCCTTGTAATTATAGTTGGCAAGTTTCAAACTTCATTCAAAAAAATATCGGGCATTCATATGCGTCGGAATTGTTCGCTGCATTCAAAGCTGGTAGGTTTATAATAATCAACTTTAGAGAGCAATACGATAAGAAATGATCACCTTCGTTTCCACGTTTTATTAGAGGGAGAAATGCCAAAGTAACATCGAAAACTCCCAGTAAATTAACGTCTAAAATTTGCTGACAATCTTCTTTTTTTCGACCACGCAAACGGAACGGTGGTTCCGGCTATTCCCGCATTGTTAACGACTGCCCATAGAGCTGAAAAAGGTAAGAATACACTGAAAAACATTTCAGTCGAATACATTTAATTTACAATGTACGTTGTTTTCAGTTACCTTTGCTTCCCAAATCTTTTTTGACAAAATCTGCAGCGTTTGCACGCTTTCGGTGCTAGTTACATCGACAACAACTGGTTTCATGCGAGGAGAACAACTGTTTTTGAGTGCAGTAACCGAGTTTTGAAAAAAACAGCCAGCGTACACAGTAACGCCTTTCTTGTCTAGACGTTCAGCTAGTGCTCTTCCAAACCCACTGTCACATCCTAAAAAAAGGACAAAAGAGCAATGCTCAAATATATGGACACGAAAGCCAAGACGAAGTAGTACGGGTAATGCCACAAGATGCGCATTTTATTTTTATTTTGATGACGTAATCGCAGAAAAGCGAATCCCATAGATCCCAGAGAAATTTTTTCTATAAATAAAAGTTATAGCCTCCGAGAAAAAAAATACAATCTTTACCCACTGAAAAATTGAACGCAATTGGTTCAGTAGCCGACATTTATTCGTTCAGCTTTTCGCATTTCATATCATATATCAGTGTCCCCAACCGGCGGTCCGCGGACCGGCAAAAAAGCTTCGCGGACCGGCGGGAATTTAATTTCGTTGTTTTTCGGTCGTCTCAATCACTTTACCGAAGTCGAAAAGACGAAGTTACGTTGGTTTATTACGCAATTTCTCTTCCGCCGTCATATTGCTGTTTGATACCTGCGGTATAGCCTGGCGACGTCTTGGAGCCGAGTAATCACACTTTTTGCTTCATCGCGAAGGTGCATCGCTATTTGATTAAGGCAGCCTTCACTGGGTTACGCCTTCGATAGCGAAAGGATCCACCGAAGACAAAGAACATGAATTACGCTGCCGCCGCCTCATCAACTCCTGCTCCAGCCGAAGATGCCACAACAACCACCACCCGTCCTCGAACTCTGTTTCTGAACACCGATGAAGACTTCGATTTTCCAGCGATGATGATGTCCTCAAAAACAATGAGTCGACCAAAGAGTTCTGCAAGAACATTGTGGGACTCTTTGAAGGTCGCAAGGGCACCTGGATCTTGACTTTTGCTGCTGCAAATGGCAACCGAGAGAGTTTCCTCACTGCAGCTACTGCCTGGCAAGTAGAAACCACTAAGAGTACAATCGTTGAATCACTGCCCGGAGAGGCTCCAATACGGATTTCCATAAGCGGCATTCCCGCGGAGACTTCGTATGCCAAAGCCGTCTCCAAGATCAACCAGCTCAGCTGTGGAAAAGTTCGAAGTGCGATAAAGAGCTGGTACCGTGGCACCACAATCTACAATGGGCACACCCCGTTCCTCATCGACGAATTCAAAAAAGCACCGTCTGCCCAGGTACGTACTAATCGATGGCATGTGCTGTAAAACCTCCTTTCCTAGGGAGCTTTACACGCCGACATACGGGAAATGCCTACAATCAGGGCATGGGTACTAGGAATGCACAAACGAAGCTGTTTGCAAATACTGCAAAACACCGGGTCATCTACAAAAAGAGTTTCTCCAGAGGAAGAAAGATTTTCCACCAATCACTCTCCCTGCGAACGACTGGAGTAACCCTCGACGAAAAAGACATGTGCAAACAGCCTCACAGAAATCGCACAACCTGCCAACATAGTTGCTGATGTGGCGGAAGTATCGACCTCTGAATCTGAATCCAACTGTCTGAGAGAGATCAAAGACTGGTCAGAATGCGAGGACGTCGAAAAGATCAGCCCGCTCAAAACACCACCATCGAGACCGGCCAGGCAACTGTTCCGACTCAAAGAAACATCCACCATCGGCAACACCCCGTTCAACCCGCCTTCAATAGGGAAAGCGTTCGTTAAAGTTAAGATTCACAACATCGAGTCTTTTGACACAACAATATCATCGGTCTTCGTGGAAACAACATCTGCTCCAGCATATCTGGAATCAAATATGCAGCCGCCAATTGTCGATCTGACCAGCAAACGTAGCAGAGAGGACACAACATCTACAGACTCGTCAACATCCAAAACTACCAACAAGAGAGCAGTAGACAAAAAGAAAAAATAACAGTGAGTGACTCAACCTTAGTTTCGGCCCCGAACTATCAAAATTCCCTTCTCGTCTTTTCATTTCGGACATATTTTATTACAATTTGGCCTAGATCAATTTCCCCAATCAAACGCCCAATTTGTGGCGTTAAATCTCAACCCCAGTAATACCACCTAATAAATAACGGAAGTGATAAAAGGAAGTCTACCACAACACATGGTATAAGCAATGGTGATCTCTTAAAGAGAAGAATAATCCATAAAGCTTCCGTCGGCATAGACTGGGTATGAAGGCTTTGGGCTGGATTCCAGACTTGTCGTCCTGATCCGCGAAAAAAAAAGAAGGTGCACCGTCAAATCTCGCAAGATTTAGGAACCTGGAAATCAGCATGCGTGATTTTTCCGTTCTTCATGCTTTTCTTGATTAATAAGTCGAAGTTACGTTGGTTTATTACGCAATTTTTCTTCCGCTGCCATATTGGTGTTTGATAAGTGCGGTATTCATGGCCCGACGACGTCTTGGTGTCAGGGCTTTTCGGTTCCGATTCATCGCGAAAGGGCTCTGTCAAATCTCGCAAGATTCAGAAACCTGAGAATCAGCGTGCGTGATTTTTCCGTTCTGCATGATTTTCTTGATTAATAGGGTCGAAGTTACGTTGGTTTATTACGCAATTTCTCTTCCGCCGTCAGATTTGTGTTTGATAAGTGCGGTATTAATGGCCCGGCGACGTCGGGGCTTTTCAGTTCCAGATTCATCCCAAAAACGCTCCGTCAAATTAACTGCAGAGAGATTAATATGATGAAATCGATGAAACCTCTACTTCACAGTCCAGATTTATAAAAAAATCATCGTCACAATTCATTCTTGAACTCTCTTGATAACGAATACCCATCGCTAAGTAATCGAGCAATCAAACTGTTGTCCTAATTTTACACCAGTTACCTCTAGCTTCAATTAAAACGAAGCAAATAAATCAACTGTGAGCCGCTGCAGAGCTACGTGTTGCAAAACCTTTTTTGATGCCTGGTTTGCAATCCTGTATTGGAAACGAAACAGTAGCAAAATTCTCACTGGAGTTAAACACATTCTCCATTTCAATTTTCGGCTGCCCTTATTTGGTAGTTTTTTTCTCATGTGAAATATTTTTAAGTGTACCTTTTCTATTTCTAAAAGCATAGTGATTGCCCGACATTACGCAAACATATTGTATTATTTTTCCAGTTCCACTCATTTCAATTTTTACCGGTCCGCGAGTACATTTTATTTAATTTTACCGGTCCGCCAGGGTAGAAAGGTTGGGAACCAATCATTTTTATCACGCATGCTTTTGAAACATCCATCTATTAAGTGATTCGGGTTCTTCTACCAATGCATACAAATCTGAGTAATCCCGCGCTCTAAGCGCAAGTATTATAAATATATAGATATTGAATTTACAGTGGGTCTATAGGTTCTGATGCCAACATCAATAAAGATCTGCTGAATACAAAATATCGCGAATAAAAAACAAAAGCAGCATATACCTGAAATGAAAACCTTCTTGTCGCTAATCCCATTAATTTTTAGGAAAGATCGACTAAATTTCCACAGCAATAGAAACAAGACGAATGCAATAATTTCCCAACTGTATAAAAAGTCAGCAATCATATTGAACAAGCTACAGTTCGACTTTCTCTAAGTCTCTTGCTGGCGCACTGAAACGAAGCGTTTTTGGTATTTACCAAGTAAACATTGATGCAGTCATGCTACAGTTGAATTACCGCTGTCGCGTTGTCGGAATGTATAGTTACAGAAGCCACCGCAGCGTCACGAAATTGAACTTGCGCAGAAATGTCACTTCACAAAAACGTCCATTTGTGAGAATGTAGTTTTGTGGGGAATGACTTGCGCAAGAACACATACTTGTTGGTGATCATGAAAAAAGACTAGAGTCCAGTGGTTCTCAACCTTTTTTCTTGTTGTGGCCCATTTTTGTTGCACAAAAATTCTGTGGCCCACCAAGATTCACATGGGGAGGAAAACTTCAAGAAAAACATAGAATTCTTTCTGCGAAAATAGACATTTTCAGTTTAATAATAATTAGGTTACCACCTTGTAACAAAAAACTGCATCATTCATTGCTGCTACCATCAAATTTAACAATTTATTAATTTTATCGACAATTCTAGCAATTTTTAATAGATCCGTGGCCCACCTGAAAATGTTCTTGTGGCCTAGCAGTGGGCCATGGCCCACTGGTTGAGAACCAGTGGACTAGACAGAACAATCAAAAAGGCAAGCAATTCAATAACATTAAACAAAGGCTTAACTCTGACGTGGCAAACTACGGCCCGCGGGCAAAGTGCGGCCCGTTGGGTAATTCGATCTGGCCGGCCTGATGCTGCCACAACCAAACTAAAACCAAATTTTGATGTTTTAGCTAAAAAATAGCCGAAGGAATTTGTTGAAATCGCGATTAAATTTTTGTTTTGGCACGAGGCTTAATGTTTTCCACTTTTGCAATACTCTAAATATTGTTCATAAAATGTAACTTTTACGTCACACTTCCATGGCCCGCCAGTCTAGATGAGCAAACTTTTTGGCCCGAAGCCCAAAAACCGTGCCCACCCCTGGAACGTGCGCCTTTTGATAATACAAATTATAGATGTACTTTTACAATAACTATTTTTTGCTTAATTTAGTATGGGTACCGTGAATATACTACTGGTTCTTTATTGGACACGTTTAGTGGACATAACGATCGTTTCAATATTATGTTGTTATTGTTATTTGTCTCCATCATTTTAAAAAAAATCGCTTCTCTCTTCGAATACTGGACCAATTGCTTTGAAATTGTCAGTGGTTAAAGATAAAATTTTTCTCCAGAAGGCTATTACATTTTTTTTGCTATGACGTCATCAAAATTATTGCCATTAGGTGGCGCTACGTGTCCATATATTTGAGCATAGCTCTCTTGATTATTTCTACAATTTGAATCGAATAACATGTATAGAATATATTATAGTCCATATTTAATACTTTTCCGAGAATTTTGGCGTGTACCTCATTTTTTACTTAAGCGTCCAAACGCTGAGTAGTCAGAGGTGCGGCGACAGGAGTGTTCTTAACGCGCCACTCGTAGCCCATATTCAATAGATGACACACATACTGAGTAAAATATTGTTATTATTGGACACGAAGTGGACATAACGATCGTTTCAATATTATGTTGTTGTTGTTCTTTGACACGTTTTTAAAAAGTCGCTTTTCTCTTCGAATACTGGACCAATTGCTTTGAAATTTTTAGTGGTTAAAGATTAATTTTTTCGCTAGAAGGCTATTACTTTTATTTATTTCAAAATTTTGCGTGAATTCTATGAAATTTGATATTTCGTCTAAAATTTTGCTGTATTATTTTTTATCCATGGGAACACGGATTTTAGTCAGGGTCATGAGTGGCTGTACGTTTTGATTCTGCAAAATTCTTGCTACTGGAAATTCAGAACTTTTTTGAGGGTACCGGTGTCCGGTAGCGTCAAAGGTACCGGTAAGGACTGATTCGCTCTGGTCTAACGTGTCCATATATTTGTGCGTAGCTCTCTTGTTTAATAAAGATATTTTTATGATGATTGGAATATTCAAATAGCAGTGAGGCATTTATTATTAGAAACATTACAAAGTCATAACTTTACTAATCAGTAATTTATTTTTTCACCAAACAGAAAAAAACACTTCATGCAAATAAATATAAAAAAGGAATTTAAATACGACTAATCGATACGTCTAACGTCTACGTCTAATCGACAAGTTTTGTGCGGATGGAAAGAAATGTGATTAGCATTCCATTTAATTATCAAGTATAATTACCAAATATTGTGAGATACTGTTATATTACATCTGTGAAAAACTTGAACACTTTGATTTGGAATGCTTCAAGAAAACTTAACATGCCCGGAAGATTGTTATAGGTCAGCCAGTAGATTTTGTTGTGATTTCATTGTTTGGTTATTGGTTGGGAAGTGTGGCAACGACAACGATAAAAAATTCTTCTAAATGTTAAATGTTTGAATTATTTCATTTAAAAATCTTCAGTTCACTTTCTTTATTCATGGCGGCGTTGCATCTCTGGGTAGGGGCCTCTCTATACCTTTAATATGTTCTACAAATTCCATTATCATCATCTAAAAATAATATAAATATTCCAGTTTCACGAAACTTTAAGCATAATTACACTTCGGAATTCAAACTGTCTCAATCAATAAATGAAAATCAATTTACCCGATATACCTCACCTGATAACTGAATGGTAGCCATGATACTGGAATGAAGAAAAACTTTGCATCATTTCCGACAACGTATCGATTATTTGGATATTTACCGAACAAAGCATGTTCATATGCATCTACAACAAGTTCCAATCTAGAAGACATTACTGTGTCCAAAATCTTTTCTGAGTATTCACAAACTATGAATAGACAAATATCATACTGTTGACATGAGTTAGTTATTTAATAAACCATTCAAATTAGAATAAATCATTTATATATGTCGCAATTCAGTGCAATCGATGGCCCAGAGAAAGAGAAGAACACAATTTACTATTTTGCCAAACAGAAAACATACATCATAACAAAAACATAATACCATATGTTTTTTCGGTTTAAATTGGAAGGGGCGATAGACCATACAGTCATCTAGTTAGTAACCATGTTAGTATCAAAGTGACTGATAACAGATTCAAGGCAGCCTACCGGTACCGCAGTTTTCACTCCGCCCGACTACGCCACAAGGTGCGCAATTTTTAATTTTGTTGACGTCATAGCACACCAAAACTAATACCACAAAGCCCATAGAAATTTTTGAAATAAATAAAAGTGATAGCCTTCTAGCGATTTTTTTTACAAAAAATGGGGAAAATACGAAAAATAATAACAGCAAGAACAACATTTTGTGACCAATAAAACAAAACGAATAAAAACCTAGAGGTTACCATTTTTGCAAAACGGTAGCCTACTCACGTTTATCGCAGTAATCTTTGCCAAACTTTTCTTTTGTTTGTTCGTCAAACTCCGACCACCTTTTTTCTATGCTTGGACAAACACTGTCCACCAAACCGGTGCGGAAAAATCCAGGTTCCAATGTATGGACGGTGATATTGTATGGTCTCAGTTCCACACTGAAACAAAAATATAAAAGATAACTGAATAATGAGAAGAGATAACATTACACTTTACCCTCCGTGTTACTTAGTCATCAATCACAGTATGAGATTCCAAGCAGGGTTCCTACTTTATACCCTAATCATGAAAACTGGCATATAGTTTAATCGAATCCAGAGTTTAAACAACTGCTGGTTGTTGTTTTGTTACCATAACGCAAAGGAAAGGTGAACTTGGTACCGATACTTGGCATCGATATACATTGCGGTGTAAGGACTGTAAAGACTCCTACTATTCAAGATTTTTAAATTCACCCTAGGGCACTTTGTTCTTGTAAGACTTCACAAGGGAGACGTAACTTAAAATCAAGGAGTTTGCAAGAGCTGACGTGAACATTCATTCATTTCCAGTTCATTTTCAGTTATTTAGTTTTACCTTAAACCATCAGAAAAGGCTTCAATTGCATGTTTTGACATTGCATAACCTCCAACAATCCATCCTATTCTTCCATAGATGCTAGCTATGTTGACAATTCTACCTATATTTAAATATGCATAGCAGCCTTGTAATTATAGTTGGCATTTGAGGGAAGTCACAAACTTCATTTATAAAAATATCGGATATTCATATATATATATATGTGTGTCGGAATTGTTAGGTACATTAGGAGCTGGTAAATTTATCATAATCAACTTTAGAGATCAATACGATAATAAATGTTCACCTTCGTTTCCACGTTTTATTAGAGGGAGAAATGCCAAAGTAACATCGAAAACTCCCAGTAAATTAACGTCTAAAATTTGCTGACAATCTTCTTTTTTCAACCACTCAAACGGAGCAGCGATTCCGGCTTTTCCCGCGTTATTAACGACTGCCCATAGAGCTGAAAATGTGAAAACAATACTGAAAAACATTCCAGTTGGATACATTTAATTTTTAATGTAGCCTACGTTGTTTTCAATTACCTTTGTTTCCCAAATCTTTTTTGACGAAATCTGCAGCGTTTTGCACGCTTTCGGTGCTAGTTACATCGACAACAACTGGTTTCATGCGAGGAGAACAACTGTTTTTGAGTGCAGTAACCGAGTTTTGAAAAAAACAGCCAGCGTACACAGTAACGCCCCTCTTGTCTAGACGTTCAGCTAGTGCTCTTCCAAACCCACTGTCACATCCTAAAAAACAAGAAAGCGATGCTCAAAAATATGGACACGAAAGCCAAAATGAAGTAGTAGGGGTGTGCAATCTGTCACATCACACTACTGCCAACAGGTAGGCTACGCCCTTTTTAATTTTTGATGACGTCATCGCGAAAAGAAGGCGAATCCCATAGAGCTCAGAGAAATTTTTGCTATATAAATAAAAGTATATAGCTTCCTAGCAAAAAATACAATCTTTTACCACTGATAATTTGATAGCAGTTGGTCTAGTAGCGATTTTTTCATAACAATAAGATACTAACAGTGAAATGTATAATATTATTTTTTTTTTCGCAAACTTTTAACACAAACAACGTTCGCAAAAAAGCTCATAATTGCTGTTGTTTGAAAGCCGTTCAAACTCCAACATAACTTGACAAAAACTATCCCAATCCCGAAAATAGACTAAATTCGCACGAAGCGGGATCATTTATTACAGTCATTCATTCATTCAGATTTTCCTCAGTTCATATCGTATGATGATTATTCAATCATTTTCATCATGCACGCTTTTAAAAATTAATCTATTAGGTGATTCGGGTACTTCTACCAACTCTTACAAATCTGAGTAATCCACGCTCTGAGCGCTATTATTATAAATATATTTATATATATATATTGAATTTACAGTGGGTCTATAGATTCTGATGTCAATATTAATAAAGATCTGCTAAATTTAAAATATCGCAAATAAAAACAAAATTAACATATATATACCTGAAATGAAAACATGCTTGCCGCTAATCTCATCAATTTTTAGGAAAGATCGACTAAATTTCCACAGCAATAGAAACGAGACGAATGCAATAATTTCCCAACTATATAGAAAGTCAGCAATCATATTGAACAAGCTATAACCAGTTCGACCTTCCGTAAGTCTTTTGCTGACGCATTGAAACGAATCACCCAAGCGTTTTTTTGGTATTTACCATGTAAACATTAATGCGCGCATGTTACAGTTATCTATCGCTATCGTGTTGTCGGAATGTACTATGTGGTTACAGAAACAGCCGTAGGTTCGGGGAATTGAACTTGCGCAGATATGTCACTTCACAAAATCGTGCTTCTGTGAGAATGTAATTTTGTGGGGAATGACTTGCGCAATAACATTTACTCGTTTGTGATCATGAAAAAAACACTAGACAGAATAATCAAAGAGGCAAACAATTCAATACATCAACCAAAGGTTCAACTCTGACAAGGGTAAACTACGGTCCGCGAGCCAAATGCTGTTGAGTAATTCAATCTGGCCCGCCTGATGCTGCCACAACCAAACTAAAACCAAATTTTGATGTTTTAGCTAATAATAGCTTATATACCTTGGATAACCTCGACAGCGAGATATGTTGAGGATTGCTAGATATCAGTCGCTGCCTTTATCTAGATTTGTTCGAATCGAAAAGCACGAGTGAGCGTTATATTACGTCATACAAAAAATTGTCTTCCCCCAATTTTGGGCTGACCACCCTCTTGCGACGACAAGCATATTCCAAAGGCACCACAAGTAAATACAGTGTGGAACACATCCATTAAAATGACACACATACGGAGTAAAAATATTGTAATTATTTAAATAAAAGGTATTTTTATGATGATTGAAAAATTCATTATTAGAAACATCCGAAGTTCAATTATCAGAATCAGGAAGGTAGATCAACATTGTGCTTCAATACATGGGCCTTCCTGTACACTTCACGTAAAATCTGCAAATGTATAACAACAAAAATCATAATATAAAGTTTCCATAATTAGATGAATTGGAAACAGTGGGGAAAGAAAGGAAAATAAAAATTTACAGGATTTACATATTTATCCCAGGAGATAGAGAAGCCGATAAGACTGACCATATGACGGACCACGGCCTCTCATTCGGTTATCAGTCCATGTCCGATATGGTATTAGTTTGCTAGTTGTTTGTTTCAGATACATGGACTTGATGGTTCATAGGAGGACTTCATTCTATTGGAATTTAGCACAAATGATCACAACGGCAAAGTATTTTTTGCTAGCATGAAGCAATTGAAAATATTTAGTTTTATCCAACAGTACCCATACTCAAATGTCTTACTCATAAATGGCCGCTTTATACTGTGGACTTGAACAGATACCAGCTGAATGGGCAGAAAAAAACAAGTTCTTTCGCGTTTGGATGAGCGTTACAAACAAATACTCTGTGATAGTCAAGTCTTACTAAAATTATCAATTACGGCAAGTAAAAATACTATTAATACTATTTCTGGCACACAGACGAAACGAAAATAAATTTTCCTACTTGATAAGTAAAAGGAAACCAAGGGGCGTACTAATTACAACTAGTTTTAATGAACTAGGATAAAACCTGACAAACCTTTATTGTATAATTGTTGAGATATGCGTCACAATTGTAACACCAGAAACTTAAATCAGAATGACTTAACACAACAGCATGTCCAGTTTCATTGAAATGATCCAACATGTGAGCATTAACAAATCTTCCACAAAACACCTGGAAGGATTGTAAAAATGGAATATCATATATGATAATTTGACCTTCAATAGTATTAGAGCAAGATTCAAATTTTAAATGCTTTTCTGAAGTTAAAAAGACCTGTTGGCATATAATTCATAAATAACAATATACAGGTAGGATAGGATTTACATATTTATCCCGGGAGAGAGGAAAAACGATAGGACGGCTCAATCATATGGCGAACCACACCCTCTCGTCCGGTTACCAGTCCATGTCGGGCGTGGGATTAGTGAGCCAGTTGTTTATTTTCAGTTGCATGGACTTGTGATTCGAAAATGCATATAATATTATTACCATCAACTAAAATTCAATGCTAGACAGAGATAGAAATACAGAAAAACTATCCAAAAAAGAGACACAAGGAACACCAGCAAACAAGGCAGATTTGCGATTTACAAATATTTATCCTTTTCTTTTATAATACATTTATTACTATAAAAGGTATTTTAGTAGCACAAGTGTTCCAATCAATGTAAAATGAATTTTCAATGTCACAACAATTGTTACCTCTGCACATTGCAAACAAGTCCAATTCTCAATAACATATTCACACATAGCACAGAATGTGTCCAGGTTTAGTAAATCCACTGTTTTGGGGTTAACATGACCTAAAATATGCAAAATGAAATGAAAATTTTATATCAATATTCAAGACATTCTTAAAGAAAAAATCTCTGAATTTCAAGCTGCACAATGCTTTGCAAGCTACTCTCATGCTGGCTAAAAAAATGATGCAAATCTCAAAGGGTAGGCTCAATGTATGATGTAATATATATATATATATATATATCTAATTTACAAATTGAACATTTACTCAATGAGGTTTCGCAGGTTATAATCCAATACAGTAAGCAATTATATATTGAATTTTGTCAATTTAACATCTAAGGTTAGCAGCACTGCTGTTAAATTATTTAAAATACCGAAAAAAAATTGCACGTTTCCAAGTTGAATATTACTAAGCTTCGTAATCGAACCAAGGTTTGTCTAATCCGAATGATTCTGGTTTATTGTTTCATATATATGAAAAGTATATTCATAGAACCATGTTATTGAAATTTTGCCAACCTCGGAAATTGTTGACCACGGAAAAGAAGATCAAATATGTCCAAAAAGTAAAATTTCAAATTAATGATATTGTGAAAATCTTTCAACATTTAGTAATTATTGCAATATTTCACTATACTTTATAGTATAAAATTTAAAATAGGAAAAGAATTTCTGCAAAGTTATCCATTAATTCAGTTTATTTAAAATCGAAAAATAATTGGTAGGCAGAATCAAGGGCACTCCAGAAGTGTATGTCCTACGCCACATCAAGTTGTATAAAGGGACTGAAACCAGAGACAGTGGGCTAACAGAGACAGTCCCTGAACTCGTAATAGAACTAAAATATTCCCAGTTCAACCGGATAGTTTGAGAAAAATCTGAATAAAATTATGCCCTAACCCTAGCCTGGTACATATATTACGTGAGTACCGCAGTCAAACTATGCTGATAAGAATGTCAATGGGCAAGACATGTTTACCTTCAACATGAGGGCAATTATCTTTAGGAACTGTATATCCACTTGCATGTTCAGGAAGTGTCGCTTGAGCTATAGCTATCATATCTTCCATACTCCTTTGAAAAAAGAATTAAATTTTAGTATGAAATATAGGATATTAAGTTTAATTAAGAAACAGAAGCACTTACATCCCATCAATGTCAGTAAGACCCATTGCAGATAACACCATAGTAATCTCTTTCCTTGTTTTGTTATCAGTTGTTATCTCCATTTCCCCACCTACCGCACCAAGTTCATTATCTATATTTGGTTTGTTATATACTTTTTTAACCTCTGATAAGGAATCGAGATAACTTCCATCCATTTTTGCTGATGATGGATTTTCTGTGTCTTCTGTGTGGGGAGTAGCACTCGGTGTGTTAGGTGACTGCCCACCACCCAGCACACTGGCTGTACTATAGTAAGAATCATCTGAAAGGTTATCTGCATTATCGGTTTCAGTATCAGGTAAAGCATTTTTTAAATCCTCCATGTTGAATGAATTGCTATTTTCAGTTGTTTCATTATTAGATTTTATAATAAAGTCTGTTGAATCACCAGTTGGAGTAGAAAAAGTTAAATTTTCAGGTGATTTTATTGTCGGTGTTATTGTAGATGAGCTGGAATTCAAATTTGGGGTATCTGGTCCATTCTCGTTTTTCTTTGAAGATTGCAATCTTGTACCTGTAATTAAAAACAAATACTAAGATCAAAAAGAAATAATGAAGGAAATGGGTTGATGAATCACCCAGAAAGGGACAATGACCGAAAATATATTGTTAACGATTGAGCCAGAATAGAAACAGAAACTTTCATTGGGTAAACACTGGAGAAACGAAAACACCATGGTCCTTGCAAAAATAGTGACAATAACAACTTACATATCATTAGCTACTTGTGCAGAGATTTCTGAGTGAAACCAAAAATACCAAAATACGGTTTCCAAAGGGTGTGCTGCGAAAGACAGGAAAGTTGCTAAGTGCGCCGCAAAAATTAACAGAATTGTGTTAAACATACCTAAAATATGATTGAATATTTTACATATTGTATTTAGCACTACCTGCTGCAATTTTGTGAGCAGTAGTTTATTTATCTGCTGAACCGAGTTTAGTGAACATGAGTGATTTTTTTAGCATTTCAAAGGAAAATCAGGCAGAGAAGATTTGACCTTTATTCCTTAGGCCTACAATTCAATAGACCTTATTCAATAAAAACCCATCCTACACGCAAAAAGAAAAGTGATGTAAACAAAACAATTTTAACATTAGCTCTTATGGGGAATGTGATCACCAGAGCAGAAATTTACATTTTTTATAATTTTCTAGATATCTTTCATTGTGAGCAGTTTTGAGGATAGAGTATTTTTTAAATCTTTTTAGCATGATAAACATGGTCAAGATTTTTGATAATCATTCACTGAAATTTTAATGAGCGCGGTGTTTCCGATGACATCATTCTCACTATACCATGAAATTCTGCCAACGCGCCGTGCTCTGTGGGATATGCACTCCAACTGCTTGTGATAACAGAATACTAGAATACCGGTACCAGGACCACCACTGGCGTTCAACGAAAGACCTATTCTGGTTTTTATTGGATAGGTTTCAGCCTGCCTAGCCTATTGGTAAATCCAGCCCTGGTGATGGTCCCTACAGCAAATTTCTGGCCCTAATCACTCAGCAGATTGAAATAAATGGTTTTCAGCATTTATTAGCAAAGATAGATATTTGAATTAAACATATAGTTCAACTTGAAGCCTGTATAATGATATTATGAATATATGTTCCATTATTACTGCATTGTGAGAAGGCTTTCCACACTATCAAGTCTATAAGGTTTTAGCATCTTCCAATGTCTCAGATGGAAACTTCAGTCTTCATTTCTCAAATTCTTTATTTCTTTTCATTAATGCCATTAGCATTTAAAGCTTTGACTGATTCCAATGTACCTTTTCCATTGTTGTTTAATGAAATATCCTAAACGTATTTATGAATTAACTGCTGTACTTGCTAAGTGTCCACTAAGTGAAAATCTACAAAAAAGGCAGTGGTTTTTATAATGGACTACGATTTTTCCTATCCTATTCTAACTGTGAAACTTGATAGCGAACATGGGGGGCAGGGGGGAGCTGACTGTGATGGTCGTAAGCTATCGCTCCCCAGTCTATAACGAATAACTGTGTGTTTCGTATATAATTTTTATTGATTCAATGCTTGTATTATGGTTGACGAAATAAATCTCTCTCTCGTATTCAGTCATGTTTTTTAACCTTATTTTAATTTATTAATTTATTAACCGGTATTGTACCGTTATAGGTTGGAGATATTCATCTTTTTTGTATACCGGTATCGTACAACATATCCTACCTATTGGCAGGCTGGCCAACATTTTTGTTCGTAGGCCTATTCACTAAATAATTTAGTTTTCACCTGTTGCAGCCTTGGTACGGTACCGGTAGTTTAAATACCACGTCAGCATGCCTTCAGTAAATGATTGCTAGCTGTACAGGTACAAATGCGTAAAACCAGTAAACAAGCGTGATAGAAATGGTATGGGTTATAGATTGGTAATGTTAAACGCAGTTACCGTTCCCAGCGCATATCCCACAGAGCACGGTGCATTGGCAGAATCTCATGGTACAGTGAGAATGACGTCATCGGAAACACCGCGCTCATTAAAATTTTAATGAACGATTATCAAAAATCTTGACCATGTTTATCATGATAAAAATATCAAAAAAGATTTAAAAAATATTCTGTCCTCAAAACTGCCCACGTCTAGAATGAAAGATATCTAGAAAATTACAAAAAATGCAAATTTCTGCTGTGGTGATCACATTCCCCATAAGAGCTAATGTTAAAATTGTTTTGTTTACATCACTTTTCTTTTTGCGCGTAAGATGGGTTTTTAATGAATAAGGTCTATTTGTAGTCTATTTCATCACGATTTAATAAATCTGCTTACCATAACTGTGCCTTTTTTTTGAATTTTTGTCTTCCTCAACTTCTAACTTGTTAATGCTTTTCGTCAATTTCTCAATAGAAAGACGTTTTGCAACCTGAAGCAATTCATCAACTTTGTTTTTGTGACTTTTCAAGCAAGGCCAAAACGAAACAATATATTCCAGGACTTGTAGAATGCATGACAGACCTTAAAAAACGATTAATAAGAAATAACCTGAGGTTTTATTGAAAAACCAAACCAAGATCAAGATTCAAGCATGTTATAAAAACACTTCTGTTGGTGCCGTGCCATGTTTCATCAAATATGCACACTTGCATAAGAATGACTATATATAATTGCTTGATTCAATAATTCATACAAATGGCAAGGCAGATAACTAGTTACTAAATTTTAGGCACAATTTTGTCCATAGTTTTAAAGAAGTGATCATTAATCAGATAGTAAAAATGATAATGAATTTGAATTGATACAAATACAAGCTGAGATACATGAGAAAAAGTGATAAAATGAACTGCTTAATGCCAAATGTTGTGAGCAATATCTGCTTTACTGCTACTGACAAAAAGATAGGTCCCATCTCTACTACCTGAAATAATATCAGGATAGCGAACTATTTACCTAACCACTAAACTGCATGTTTGAGATGAGAACCATAAAATGCGAACCAGGAAGGAATCGAAACAGCAGCACTTGATGCACTTAGTTTAAACGCAAGTTCAATCACTCATATGTAGAGAGCAGTCCATACTAGTAAAAATTGACAAAAAATTTATATGAATCTTTATCTATAAAGAACAGCTCAAAACACATCTAGATGAGCCAACATTTGAGGTTAAAAGCAATACCTGGCGTATTTGGAGGTTTTAACCTTGGTGGAACATTGTATTTTAGATTCTCGATATCGGGGCTCCCAATCTTCCTTGTATCACGAGGAAATTCAAGTAATGATTCAACACAAGCAAGCACACTGTCTGATACTGTTGTTAGATTGTATCCACCCTCCAATACAATAACAACCTTCCCACATGCCAACATCTAAAAAAATGTTGATTTTAAATTTGCTGTACGCCAATAATTAATATAACAAGAGAGCGATGTTCAAATATATGGACACAAAGTGGTACGGGTATGCTATCTGTCACAGTAGCCTATCAGTACCACATCTCAATTTTTCCACGACAAAAAGAAAAAAAAATACTGACATGATGATCAACAACAACACAATAACAAAACGATCCATAGGTCCACTTCGTGTCCAACAAGGAATATTGAGAGAATAATTTTTTATATGATGCTTCGAATAACACCATGTACATACAGCCATCAATATATAAAACTATGTAAGAACTCGGAAGTTACGATTACTGAAAGGGCCAGAATGCTTTTACCGAATTTGTTACACAAATATTTTTTTAAATTCTTTTATTTATTCAAAATATACAGCTTGTGTTTGCTGTTATGGTCATCTACAAATGTGGGATAAACCTGTATTTTTTCAATTTTCTATTTTTTTATTGTCAGGATTAGGGCTGTCCAAAATCGAATATTTTTTTGATTCGAATCGAACCGAATATTTTTCTCGAATCGAACCGAATAATCGAATATTATTACGCAATCCTAAATTTGTTTCTAATGTACAATAAAAACTTCCTATTTAATATTGTGACAACGTATATGCAGTTATTTCTAAATTATTGCAAATATTTTGCGTAACTATGTTTCCAGAGTTATAAAAGGAGATCACAAGCCTCCTTGAACTGGTCAAAAAATTAGGGTTTCGAAAACTATTAAGTTTTAAGAGTTGGAAATTGTACAGAATCTTTTAATGCCTGTAGTTGCTATTTTAATCCTATTATCATTAATATTATTAACTCAATATTTTTTGTGTAATTTTCAGTAAAATGATAAACAACTATTAATATAGATATAACTGTTGCCCAAAAAATTCAAAATTGCATTTCGGGAACTCGCAAATTCAGAGCTAGTTTGATGACCATATTGTTGCTGTACAACAGCCATCCACTCACAATAGTGCAACTATTTGTCACAGTAATAAATGGATAAAACAAAGTATTGCCATCAGAAGAAATTACAAATTCTATTGGAAAAAGGTATTGGACCTCCAAAACGTGTTTCAGTCCTGTACCATGTTCATGTGATTACTGACTCAGCAGCAACAAATCGATTCTATTTTTAGAACTGGCGTTTTTGCTGACACAAAATTTGCCTTTTTCTCCTGGTCTTCTCTCAAAAAACGTCATCTTTAAATCATAGTTACCGATAAATTTTCATTTATGACCATGCATGAAATGGATAATTACATGTCACCGGGCAATAGGAGAGATCTTTTTACAGCAAAGAAAGCGATAGAAACGTGTTTGCTTGCCTGGTGAAAAACGCCGTGCAATGTTGTGTTGGCCGTGTACTAAATTTTAGCGATTCGTAAATTGGCCGAAAAACGCTTCGAATAATTTGCGATTTGATTCGATTTCGAATATTCGGTTCGCTTGGACAGCCCTAGTCAGGATTGAATTTTCAAGTCAATTTTTTTTGACTATCAGATCAAATGCCTTGAATGACAAATTTTTCGGATAAAAATATTCTAAATAATTCTCAAAATCAAAGCTTATTTTATTAGTGGTGGGCAATTTCTGACCAGTGACAATATTTTGTATGGCCCTAGAAAGCCTCAAGCCAACACAAATTTTTATAATTCTGTAAATTTTTATTCATGTCGCCAAACTGCAAGGACTGTTGGCAATGATACATTTGTTGGAGTTTCCAATCAATTAGAAATAAAATGAATTGCTTTGTGACCTATAAACCTTATTGGCAGCACATCAAAAAATGAGATAAAAGAATGAAAGAAATATTTTATGAGAAGACATTACTGACTTTTATGGGCCTTCCCTTACTGATGAAGTCTCCATGTATGAAGAAATTTAGAGGGTAATGTATTCCAATTTTAGCTAATGTATGTTTGTACAAGAATATGATGAGATAGTTTTTATACTACAAAAAATTCAAAATTGCAATTTAATTAGATTACTCTATCAATGCAGTTATTAAAAAGTGTGGCCCACAGATAACTTCTCTGACCATGATGTGGCTCGCAAACCAAAAAATTTCCCCCCCCTGGTATAGGATACAACAGACCTTAAATAAATAATTCACCAAGAACATGCATAGCCATAATAAAATGAACAAACCTGCAACCTATGTGACATATATCCAAACATGTTTGGAGTGACATGATATCCACCGAGGGGATCACCTTTACCAGAATCAAATCCAGATGATACCAAGACAAGATTTGGTTTAAATTCTTCTGCAATCGGCATCACAATCCTTTCAAATGCAGTATAATATTCAGAATTTCCCATTCTTGCTCCACCCCACGGTATATTTATATTGAAACCAAGGCCCTTTCCATTCCCAACCTATACAAATATGTAAGATCATTACCAAGGGTGTTGAGTCAGGGAAAATTATCCCAATTCTTCCACAAACTTTAACCCATTTAAAAAATACTAGTTCCGACTCAGAATCAGTGCTGGATATATAATACCAACCGCAATTTAATGACTCAAGGGCTATTGGACTGCCATATAGACACTTAATGTTTGTGATATAAATTAATTTTAATATTAGTTATGTTGAACATGCTTGTATACTTCTTTTTCTTCAAGATTGAAAATAATTTATTGAAGCACATACCCTATCATAATTTGCATCTTCGGTTGATGGAAAAAATATCCCATTATCGTATCGATGGAAAGAAATATATAAAACAGAAGGATCATCATAAAACATATTCTGCGTACCGTTACCATGATGAACATCCCAATCCAAAATTAAAACTTTATACATTTCTGAAAATAAAAATGTGATAAAATGGCTATGGCATAGTCACAGTATATTTAATCCAGCTTTCAAGGTTCATTTCTTTTATTTAATCTTTTTGGTATATCAGCCCAAGGAACTGGACTCAAGACTCTGATATACCTATGAAGAATTCAAATTTTAAATAAAAATTTGAAATTAATATTCAAAATTACATTTTAACAGATTCAAGTTTTTGTATGAAGAATTAGAAACCTATGAATGTAAAAAAAATTATGAAACGATCTGGTATCTCCAGATTGACCAATTACGGTAAGCTTGGCTTCTGCTTCATTGAAGCGTCACCCGCCCTTGGCTCCCCAGTTTTGTGAGGTTAAACCGTAAAATATCACAATTTACCTTCGCTTTCTACTAATCTTTCATTTTTTGCTAATTTTTGTGCATGCCTTGCTGCTACAGCAACATTGTTGAAGAGACAGAATCCATAAGCTGTGTGTGTTTCTGCATGATGACCAGGTGGTCTGAGAAAACAATCGATTTAATATAATAATATTCTCCTGACCAGATTTTTTATGGTTGTGACGGCTAGGAAATGAGACATATAAGTATTTTAGTTTTCCATTTTAAATGTACACATACAAAAAAACGAAAAGGTAGCACAGCTGCCGGATGGCCAATTCGAATAAAGTATTTGAATGTATTGAATATCTGGTTATTCGAATATCGGAATTAGCTTTCATAAGAATATCGGATATTTGTGTGACGTCACACATTTTCGACGCCGCTTTCAAGACGTTTCCGTCGAATGAAAACATTCTCGATAGAAACTTTCGCGCGATCGTTTTCATCAGCGTGGGTGTTATTCAGGCCGTAAACGCCTTTACGTTTGTGTTATTTTCTTTAAAATGAAAATTTTCCACAAATTTGTTCCACGATAACGATGACAAATATTTTATTTTTGTACTTGTACGGGATTGTAAATACGGTGGCGAGTTTCGAAGACAACGCAAATTTTTTGATTGAAAAGCGGCAATTTAAAATACTGAAAATAAAACCGTGAACAAAATAGGTTTTATTGAGGCCAGCGACAGTTTGAAAAATGTTTTTCTAGGCAGTAAAAATCGCAAACTCCCGTGTGCCTCTGGCACATATTATGTTTGGTCCGCGTTTAGAAACATATCGTCACTAATCCATTACTTTAATTAAAATACCGTCAAAAAAAATCGTATTAACATTATACAGGGTTTGAAACGCGACTTTTTCCCGGGTTGTGAGGACGTAAATATAATTAATCTGAATCAATTTTTATTGTGCTAAAATAATTGTACTCCGAGATTTTACAGCAGATTTATGGATTTTTCGAACAGCTTTATCTTAAATATTATCGGAGTGGCAGTATTTCGATTGAGCGGACTCAAATTTGCCGAATTCGCAAAATACGGATCAAAACAATATGTAATCGGGCACTTTACCACACATTTTTATTTTTATGTCCTCGGATGGCCATGGTATATTAGAGTGGTGAGGCAACCGAAGGTTAAATTGAAGACAATTAAATTAATAAAGCAAGACATTTTAAATATGCCCGTATCGGTCACGAATTCATCACTTTGTTGTTATATTATTCGTTGTAAAAGTCAGCTCTTTTAACAGGTGGAGTAATCGCGGCGATGAATATGTATTTTTGATTTACTGCTAAGCTTTATATGTATATTCATTGTTTGAAATGAAGTTGTAATCTACAGGATTTTATATCAGTTATTGAGATTTTTCTAACGGCGATAACGAGTTGGCAAGATTGCAAAAATACGTATTAAAATTAAATACATCAGGCAGTTTATCTCCTACAAAGATATTTTAGAATCTGGTAAATGTCATGGATTGAATATTTTACCGTGACAGGATGATCATTATACGCTGAAAAGACGGATCTTTTAACGAGGGCGGAATCGTGGTGGCTGTTACAAGCGGCAATGGGAATTTCCGATTTTGAAAATCCTGGCTACACGCCTGGCAACTTATTGCTAATTTCAGACATATGCACACATAATAACAATATGGTTCACATAAATTAATATACAAAGATACTGGTAGGTTGTAGAATATTCTAGGCTTAAATATTTAAATTTGTGAAGGCATATTGGATATTCGATTGTTGTTGCTTGCTTCAGTTGCCTGTATTGACAATGAATTTTATTACTCCCAGAAAATATACTCAAATATACTCAATAAGTAGTATTTTTGTCAATAGACTTGACTATTATCGTAATATTATGGAGCCAATGATAGAAAGCGCCGGACAACTCCTTGGCTATCTTTTCATATGGTCATTTGTACAAAGTGTACAATTTTAATAAACTGACTGTGTCACAAGTTGCTATTATTTTTATTGATATCTATAAACTATAAATTACTTTGTGTACATATACTGTTGGTTTGTGGCTTTATACTGATATTTCTATTGAAGCTTATTTCCTATTTTACTGGGCTTTAATAAATTTTGATTTTAGAATGTATTCGGAATTCCAGATTCGAAAACATTATTTTAGAATGTATTCGGAAATGGCCATCCCTGTTGCGGCTGTTTGGGCGCCGGCTGGTGGTTTGGCATAATCGTTTGGGCATCATCTGATTTAGTATTGAAATGAAAAAACAGGGCCCGGAAAATGGGAACAACTGTATTGCCCCTCAATTAGGCAGATTTATTTGACACCAAAAGGGCTGAGGCCAAATCATCTGGGGGCCAAAATATACCTTATCCAACAAAAACACAACACACACATGTAAAACACTTTTATCAGATCAAACTATAAATGTACTTCAATGCTACAATGGTCTGTGATCCCCAAAACCCAAATCAGAATTAATATATGGAATGAAAATAGTCAGGATGAATACCTAAAGTTTAATTATAAAGTATACATAATATCAATTGCATTTAGTATTATTATTACCCTCAAAATAATTTCCGTATAATAAAATTACCTAACTAGGGCAAATCCAGAAGTCAGTGATCCTTTGACAACCTCATCCACAATAGATAGTGTACAACCACAACTAACCAGAGCACACATATATGACTCTTTACATAAATAAATAGAATTATATCTTCCTTGTTTTTCTTCAAAATCCTCCACCGACTCTATATTTGCAGTTGATGCTATATCATCGACATGATCTGAATATTAATAAAAATAAAGTGATTAAAAAAGTATTCGTTTATAAGACGGCTTGATACTTTCGGTGCTCTGTAGAACCTGATACGTAAAGAGATACTATTTTGAAGAGCCCATAATTTTTTGCGTTTGGCATTGGCTACCAATTTCCAGTTTGAACCTTAGATATTCAACCTGCATCACTCTGACCACAAGACTATATTTCCCATGTTTTAATGCTAATACGAGTTTTTCAAGCTTGTCCTAATTACAGATATTCAAAACAGCAAAAAATAATGATAAAATTTGATATAGGTACCGTATATATAATAGAACAGCTAAAACAGTTTTTTAAAAAAATGAAATTATTAATATTAAAATGAATTTTAGAAATCAGGATTTTTGGGGAATGGTAATTCTAATTGCCATTCTCACAACTTGGTATCAAATAAATTTTACCTTTTTTAATTTTGAATAATATCCAATGCTAAATTTATTTAAAAAGCTAATCAAATCGTGTGACTTAGAAAAGAGGTACAGAATTCCCACTTTTATTAACAGGAAACAGCAAAATAGATTGGTTCTCTATTTGGGGAGAAGTTTTCTCTCAAAACTCCAAAAAATATATTCCATAAAGAAAAGAAAGAACTACAATGCTAGATGACACAAATATTGAAATATATATACACATCAAATACCTCCTTGATGCACCAATAATAATTCATCTTTTGTTGCTTCCCTTCCTGGGACTAAATATACACGATCCAGTATAGCTGCACCGCATAATCTAGAAAAAATATCATCTTATTTATTTGTTCAATTATAAAAAGAAATAAACTTTCTTTGAGGAATATTTTCACCAAAAATTTCATTTACTAAAGCTTTGGTTATAGAAGATTCCTCCAATGTTTTGAAACTTGCATATCCAAGAATCCCCATCTATAATGAAGAATTAAGATGTAGGATACAGCTTTATAGAATAATTATGATAGGATAGGATTTACATCTTTATCCCATGGGGAGGGGGGGGGGGGGAAAGACGATAAGACGTCTTAATCAAGTAGCGAACAACGGCCTTCTGTCCGGTTACCAGTCCTTGTCAGGTATGGGATTAATTTAGCCCATTATTTGTTTCAGATGCATGGACTTGATGGTGGAGGGAGTTGTAACTGACCAGCAGATACGCAAATCACCCTCTGACAGCGTGGAAAATCTACTCGCACATAATTACCCCCAACATGCAAACCTAAGTAGGGTAATCAGAGGTGCGATGGGGAGAGCATTCCTGAAGCTCAGCACAATGCGCCACACCGCCTATCCTACTACGAACTAAAGAACATATGGGAAAAGAAAATATTGAGGTTTTCTGCAAAAGACTTGGTTTAAAATGAATGGTATAGTCACAGAAGCTTATAAATAAATCAAGATGAATTAATTGATCAATGGCTGTAATTACAATTTTTCTACCTCAATAGAAACCAACATCAAACGATATCAAGCATTCACCTTTCAAGCGGCCTTGAAATTCGTTCTGGTCTTTCTGGATGTTTTCTTCGATAATCTAATGTCTTTGATGCTTTGTGTTGCATCATCCGAGAATCAAAGACTAAACCAACATGTTTTCCACTCTCTGAAGGTTTGGCAATATCATAATTCAATTTTGGTATTCTTACTTCTTTTGGAGATTTTATTGATGGCGAAATTGCCTGAAATATTTTGAACAACAAATAAGAAGATGGGTAGCCTACCTATAAAAAGAATATGTGATAAATAAAGAATGGCTCTGGTCTACTATATTCTTGTTTTTTGTTTCTTGGAATTAGTGGATGTCAAATCATATTGACAATCGTATATGGACTGGACCATATCACGGGAATAAAACAAGGGTGCTCCCGAAGTATGCGAACCAAGATGGCGGACAACGGAACGTAACATGGGTAACAGGTTAGGGTTAGGCGATCATTTTTTTCCAATTTTCCCTATTTTAATCTTATTATCAGTTCGAAGACTAGCCAAGAGCCTCCCGCAGTATTTATATCTAAAATTATGGCCTAATCTTAACCTAGTTCACATATTACATTCCGATGTCCGCCATCTTGGTTCGCATACTTCGGGAGCCCCAAAACAAGTACTAAAATATTTAAATATAAAACAACAATGAGAATATTTTTGTTTTAGAAATTACTTTCATTGTTCAATTCATATTAAAGAAAAATAATAATTGGGGCGTGACCACGAAATGCCGAAATGTTTCTTAGCCACTTATTAATGTGAGCTGCTCACTTTTATACAGAATAATAATATAGTACTTATCATTTTATAAAATATTTTTTATGCTTCAAAATTTTTTAATTTTTTCAACACCTTATTCGGGGCCCACTTAGCTATATACACCATACAGCCATATAATACAAAAGTAATAAAACATTGCATAAAAACAAGAATGTAAAGGCATAGGGTCTCTGTAATTTTCCTTCATTGCGTGTATCTTAGGACGGTAGGAATAATTGCTCAACAAACCAGGGAATTAAAGTCTTCTTCCATTTCCAGTTCACGTTTTGCCTTGGCCTTTTTTCCCTCCTTCATGATTGCCTGAAGATTACGGACTTTTACAAAGGTTTCATTCTTTAAATCCACAGAAATTGAAGTAGGAGTTAAAGAATTTGATGTGCTGCTGCTTTCTTCGTCCTTTTTACGAGATCTGGTGTTTTCATATGGCGAATCCGACATTTTATCACAAACTCTAGCTGCAGTATATACTGATATAAGTATAAGTACGGTATAAGTTTATTTCGACTCCATAATCAGCATAACAATAAAATGATTGATAAAAACAAATATATAAAAATTGATTATGAAATCGGGAGAGCAAACAAAACCCTAGATAAGGTTTAAAACATAAAGAATGCATAATATAAGATGTAAGGTTTTGCCAAGTCTGCAAGACGTGTGGTACGTGTGAACTCACCTAAAATAAATGAATTATTTCACACACACTCTCATGCACCCACAAACACAACCGTAAAAAAATTATAAAGTAAGAAGAACGATATAAATTACACACTGGTAGTAAACAAAAGTGATGAAAAAATGAAATAAACATATAAAAAAAAATTACTACTGTACTAGCAACACCATAGACTACTTATAATTATATACTGAATCAAACCATGGTATTTATTAAACCTCCGACTTCAATTATTTAAAACTGGCTTATGTTAATGATGTAAAAAACACGACCCTATTATGCTAGTCCGCACTCCGCAGACATGCCACTCCCACCAAAACACATTCTAATTTCTGATATTGCGAAGGACAGCACGGTACCGCTTTCCGTCTACACTACAGGTCTACCTTAACCAACAGACAGCTTTATATCATATGCATATTTTTCGTTCTGTGTGGTAAGAATTTACTATATTCTTATACTACAATTAAGAATATAAATGATATATTTTCCAAAATGTACACAACTCTCACAAGCAATATCATGAATAACATTGCCCATCCCAAGCGCGCCCATTAATCTGCGCTTTTTCACAGGTTTGAATCCCGTGGGCGCTCAGCAGCTCGCTACTGCACTATGTGGGACAGGGGTGCTGGTGCTGGCTCCCTCCGCCACTTTGTAGTTGAAGTAACGAACTTCAAATCCTTCATTCATTATATTTTTAGTTTTGTAGATCAAAATTTATTGTTTAGGCCATAAAAAGGACCTAACGATTACGAATATACCGCGCTTGTTAGATCAATAAATAATAACATTATCGGCGCTCTTCGGCACCCAAAGATAAATATGAAAATCCCAGCGTCTGTGCAAATGCCGTGAAGGGCGCACGTGTTATACTTGTGATCACTGCAGAAATACCTTCCCGGCTGCTGCGTTCGACGAGCACTCAAGATTGATTTTTGAACAAACCCACTGTTGAAACGTTCTTTTTGGACACGTAGTGGACATAACGATCGTTTCAATATTATGTTGTTGTTGTTCTTGTTCTTGTTCTTGTTCTTGTTGGACACGTAGTGGACATAACGATCGTTTCAATATTATGTTGTTGTTGTTCTTGTTCTTGTTCTTGTTCTTGTTCTTGTTCTTTGACACGTTTTTAAAAAGTCGCTTTTCTCTTTGATTACTGGACTAATTGCTTTGAAATTTTCAGTGGTTGAAGATGAAATTTTTCTCCAGAAGGCTATTACTTTTATTTATTTCAAATATTTCTGTTAGCTCTGTAAGATTTGTTTTTGTTTGCTATGACGTCACTAAACGTTCTACGGATATCGGACGCCATTTTGTGTCCAACGGACCATCTTGCAATTTCAATTCACGCTGTCACAAGACAGGAGTTCTGGTACCGTAACACAGCGCGGTGACACTGAACTAACTCGTAGCTGTCAAAAGCTTGAAAATCCATACAAATATGAGAAATAAAAAGATGAAACTTGGCAGGTGGGTTGTGTTTCTTTTAACCATATTTGAAAGTTTCGCGTTTCTACATTTGAAGGAGGGGGAATAGGGGGTGTGCATTTCCGATACGTCGATAATATCTTTGTCAACCAATTTGCGGCCACCGTGTTTTCGTCTGTTTGATTGCTGTGATGTGGTGCTTTGTTTATAATTTAACGAGTTTTGTTCGAAATAACCGTGTTCTTGAAATATATGACGGTCAGAAATGCAATTAGAAGCCCAATTTTTCACGCTGTCACAAGACCAACAATTGTCAACCAATTTGCGACCACCGTGTTTTGTCTGTTTGATTGCTGTATGGCTGCGTATGCCATAGTCTCGACGCAGCATAAACGATGATCAAGGCTTGAAATCCGTGGTCGCACACTGGTCGTTCGGTCGCAAATACGTCTTTCGAGTGCCGTACTTTGGGGATTTGTATAGCTTCAACCCTTTGTCGTAGAAAGTTAATACGAGGTTTAGAGTGTAGAATAAATGCCGCCAATGCACCCACGGTGAAAAAATTAACGGGTTAGATATATTGGTTTTTGTTTTATAGCGGTTTGAATGAAATTGTCCGCAGACTGGCTACACCACCCTAGGCCTGGTGAGTTGTCCGTGTAGTCGAATTGTCCATCAGCCCTAAACGGCTATGACAGTCACTGTACCAAAAATTGTACCCCGATTCGGCTGGTGTTAAGTTGACGCATGTTATTTAGTAACGTTATTATCTGAAATGTTTGACTGTGGTTCGGTACCTGATCCGATAATACGGTACATAATTGACTCATATCACGAGATATTTCAACTGATGTTTCAATTGTCACAGGACCTAAAATATCTATGACAGTCCCTGTACCGTCACGGTACCCCGATACAGGTACTGGTAAGTCACCGCCGGTATGTTAGTCGTTGGTCACCGCATATGATTTTTGGGGAATTGTTCTGCGTGTCCATATATTTGAGCATTGCTCTCTTGTTGGACACGTAGTGGACATAACGATCGTTTCAATATTATGTTGTTGTTGTTGTTCTTGTTCTTTGACACGTTTTTAAAAAGTCGCTTTTCTCTTCGAATACTGGACCAATTGCTCTGAAATTTTCAGTGGTTAAAGATAAAATTTTTCTCCAGAAGGCTATTACTTTTTTTTTCGCTATGACGTCATCAAAATTATTGCCATTGGGTTATTGCCATTATTGCGCTACGTGTCCATATATTTGAGCATAGCTCTCTTGTAATTTAATGATAATAATAACAAGAGAGCTATGCTCAAATAGATGGACACGTAGCGCCACCCAATGGCAATAATTTTGATGACGTCATAGCGGAAAAAAAAAGTAATAGCCTTCTGGAGAAAAATTTTATCTTCAACCACTGAAAATTTCAAAGCAATTGGTCCAGTATTCGAAGAGAAAAGCGACTTTTTAAAAACGTGTCAAAGAACAAGAACAACAACAACATAATATTGAAACGATCGTTATGTCCACTACGTGTCCAATAATAAGTCGTGTAAATCAGTGGTTCCCCACCTTTCCACCCTGGCGGACTGGTAAAATTAAATAAAATGTACCCGCGTCGCGGACCGTTAAAAATTGAAATTAGTGGGACAGAAAATAATAACATATATTTGCGTAATGTCGTCCAACCACTATTCTTTTAAACAAAAAAGGCACACTTGAAAACATTTTACATAAGGAAAAACTATCAAATAATGTGCCGGCCAAAATTTGAAACGGGTGGGACATAAAATAATAACATATATTCGCGTAATAAAATGCAGTGCTGGGCTCCCATTATGCGTAAAAAGACACACATCCCACATGTACAAACACCATCAACTTCAGTGAGAATTATGCTACTGTTTCGTTTCCAATACAGGATTGCAAACGAGGCATCAAAAAAAGGTTTTGCAACACGTAGCTCTGCAGCGACTCACAGTCGATTTATTTGCTTCGTTTTAATTAAAGCTAGACGTAACTGGTTGGAAATTCGGACAACAGTTCGATTGCTCGATTACGAAAAGTGTGATTACTCGGCGCCAAGACGTCGTCGGGCCATTAATACAGCACTCATCAAACAGCAATATGACGGCGGAAAAGAAATAAACCAACTTAACTTCGTCTTATTATTCAAGAAAAGCATGCAGAACGGGAAAAGCACACATGCTGATTTTCAGGTTTCGGAATCTTTTGAGATTTGATGGAGCGCTCTCGCGATGAATCGGACGGAACCAAAAAAGCGAAAAGTGTGATTACTCCAAGCCAGTGGTTCTTAAACTGGGTTCGATCGAACCCCTGGGGTTCGGTGGAGCTGTTCCAGGGGTTCGACGAAGGTGCTCTGAAAACAGTTGCATATTATGAGACTCTTTTATCACCCTGCATACTAATTATGCAAAAATAACTATAGTTCATGATGACTAATTACTAATGACTTGAACAATTGAATGGAACAATTAATTGGTGTTACCCTATTCATATTCTACCGTACTAACAAAATTTAACTCAATTTTACGGATAAATCGAAGATAGGCAGTAATTGTACATGAATGAATGCAAAATCATAGCGTGTTTGAATTTCACTAGGTGATAAATTTGCGACAAGGAATAGTTTATCGCAGAGCTTTACCCGAAATTATTATGATCCATTCAGGACAACCTCGATATGGCGCCGAATTAATCCTATCTCTATTTCTGTAAAATAAAACAATTGGCAAACGATTTTATTCGCATTTCAGCGCAGTTTAAAGTTTGAGAACAAATTGCTTGAACTACCAACGTTTATGGGGTATATTATCATCTTTCGGATTTTCAAAGTTATTTTTTATCAGTTTTCGCCTGTTCACCCGCATAACTTATACAACAAAAACCATCTGCTCATTCTGCCGCCAACGCCATTGTGACAAAACAATGGTTATTCCCACATGGTTATTGATATCTAAGGTTTCATCACAATGTTCATATTCTATAACTTTGCAAGAATTACCTTCCGCTTTATGACGTTACGGTTTGGCTTCTAATTTCAACCGTTCAGTACAATGGGGTTCGGCGGGAGCTTGCAGAATAGCGCAGGGGTTCGGCAGGCTCACAAAGATTAAGAACCACTGCTCCAAGCCATTAATACCCCACTTATCAAATAGCAATATGACGGCGGAAGAGAAATTGCGTAATAGACCAACGTAACTTCGTCTTCGGTAAAAGGATTGAGACGGTAGAAAAAAAAAAAATTTTTCTGCGGGCCAACAAAAAAGCTTCGCGGACGGGCGATTGGGAACCACTGGTGTAAATAACATCAAACATGCCACCAATAAGCGCTTTCAATATTGGACGTCTCACATAGATAGTGTCAAATGGAGAACAATCGTTGCCAACCTTTCACGTGGAAGTGGAGCCAAATAATAAAGGAGCATATCGCATAATGCTTGAACCTTTTTGTTTTGCAATATCATACTAACTTGCTGATTTTCATCAGGATACTCAACTTTTTCAATTGTTTAACTGAAATTCAGTAGGAACCGATTTCAGCCTTCTAATCAAAAGTGAAGCCACATGAACTACCCACACTATGTGCAAAAGTGTATCTTTAGCCTACCACATAGGCACATAGTAAATAAGTACAAAGCAGTAAAAAAGGTTCAGATTTTTAATAAGAATATCACAAAAGTTACAGCAGAATTCGAACTTTACAAAATGATAGGCAGAAAAATGAATGATAAATGGGGACAAAAAACAGCACAAAAGTGACATAAAAAATATGAATAATAATCATAGTTTCTGGCAATGTTCATACAACTGATGAAATGAAGCAGGGCTCTTCAAACTGGGGGTCCCGAAAGGGCTCAATGAGGTTCGCGGAAAATCTTTTTTGACACTCACTTGTGTCAAAACAAAATACTAATCAAATTTGAAAGACTTGGAACCAGTACAGATACTCACAATCACTGAAATAGAGCCAAGTTTCAATCTTTTGCTGGAATATGCAATTGTAACGGTCTCATTGAAGGTATTGTCAATTTTATTATTTCAATTTAATATTTTCTGCATTATTACATTTTACTTTACATTTTTATTTCATTTTCTGGGGGTCACGAGAAAATGTGGCCGCGTCAAGTGGGTTATAATGAAAAAAGTTTGAAGAGCACTGAAATAAGGCGCAATCAATGTGTAATCAAAGTGTCATTTTAAACTACATGAAAAGAGTGTGTAAGCTATATATATATATATATATGAAAAAAAATTGTGCATTGAACTAAGCATTAACAACACTCTCGCAACGCAATGCTAATTACTATGCAGGGGTTAATAGGTTCAAATTTCCTTAGTGATGATTATGGTCAAGTGGAATTCTGTACCCCTGTACGAATTATGGTGACGAAGTACTCAGCAATCTGTAGCATTAACTTGCTAGGTCCCACACCCAGACTAGTAACCAAATATAGGACAATGGTTTCATTAATTATTCTCCAGTCTCCTATTATAAATACAATAAATATCTATTCTGAATCTGATGCTTTCGAAGCAAATGGTTTACCCCTCAAGTATTCGAGAAAATTGAAAAAGATCAGTAACTCCATCAAAAGACATATTTCACTGCATCATACAAAAATATATGAAACATAAATATAAATAAACATTTATGGTGATTGAAGAACTTTTCTTCGTATTTTCTTCCTTTTCCGGCTTGCATCTAGTAATAAGAATAAAAACAAAATGATAAGATGAAGGAATGATGAAAGCAACATTTGCAGCTACGATAATAAAAAAGATTATTGAATTTTTCGCTTTTTCAAAAGATTTCCATCAACATAAAACGGTATTTGTGAATTACAAAAATGCATCAATATCATGTTTTATTTGTTTCTAATATTTTGACAACTATCATGCAAACATTTACCAGAAATTCCTAATTTACGTTTATGTCCAGATTAGTTTCATAGTCAGTTTTAGTGATCAAGAATCTAAACTATACATGTGATATTTGCCATGAAAATAATTATTTGTAATACAAGAATTAGACATATATGAAAATCTTAAACCTATTATTACCTGATTGAATTGGTCGCACAATGTTTTGCTAATGGTAAAACGATATATATACTTTTTTTGACTTACTTTTTTCAGAGAAGCTTATTTTTTCTGGTGACGGTTTCAGCGGACTTAATACTTGAATTACTTTAGCGAATGAATAGAATCGACATCTCGATTCTTCACTGAGTTGCCATGATGATGTTGACATATCTGGAATAGTCACTATAAAAGAATGAAAAAAAAATTCTTTTTTAGGTTGATGGGTAGATGATATCATCATAAAAGAAGTCTACAAATTTGTAATTGCTACCAGCATGTAAGTTAATTTTTATGAGGTATTCTATACATTCACTTGGGGCATTGTAAACTCATGAGCAGAAAGCTATTTTGAAATGTCTGGGATTGTTTTGCTTAAGCATGGCCTAGACCAGGGATGGCGAACCAATGACCCACCGCACTTTTAGGGTGACCCGCTAAGGTAAACATACTAACATACTAGTGATAAAAATTGATAAAACCAGCGCTAATTGAATTTAACAATAAGTAAACTATTATAATGTACCATCAATTAGGCAGCCAGGGGAGCGATAGCTCAAATTTTAATTTTCAAAACTCCCAATCTTGGAAGCACGTCTGCACCAGTGTATAACCATATGTAGCTATTGGCTGTGACATCGTTTATGACATAATAATACAATTGATCTGTTCATATTTCGCAACGTCTTGTTACAGCGTTCCATTTGGTGTAAAACCAAAAGGCAGACTGCAGATTGTTATGGAGGATATACGAGAACTAGATGCTACTTTGCATTTTATTGGATTCTCGCCTACACTGGCGTTGGGAAACAAAATCTTAGGCAGATTAAACGACACCGATAACAACGATTCAACTAACTTATTTTTATTTAAATGCTCTCTTTTTTCGAATCGCGTGAATGAAGTGGCATCCCCACTTTTGAGTCACTTAAAACTTACATTGGGAACAAATTCTGATGCTCCCGAAGTATTTGTACCAAAATGACGCACAAACTGAACATAGTATGTGAACCAGGTTAGGGTTGTTCGGGTTGCGCCATCTTGTTACGAATACCTCCAGAGCGCCCAAATTCTTAAGTAAATTATAACTTGATTGGTATATAGGTTTGCTAAAAACGTTTGGGCCCGCGATGAATTTCGTCATACGAAAGTGGCCCGCGACACAAAAAAAGTTGGGCAGGCCTGGCTTGGACAAAAGTCGAGCAGGGTCAGAGTTCAAAATCTTCAGTACAGAAAATTATAGTATGAGCAAAAGCCAAAATTATCAGATCAAAACAGTTGGGTATACCAGAAAAATGATAAAATCCAAATGCACGAACTAATGTGAATGGATAAATAGCTTAAAAATATCAACACATATATACTCTTCCTACTGCAAATGCTCCTACCTGACAAGTCTTCTGAATCGGGTTGAACTTCTGAACCGGTCGCCGATGCTCGATCCGTCATTTTTCTTGAGGTAGATTTAGGTTTATGTGGAAACTTTGATGTCTTGTTGCAATTTGTTCCTGAATCAGCATGATGTTGACTTTTATTTAATGTAACTTCGGCAACTTGCTTTTGGCCACTTGCGGCTCCAGTACTCATGATGTTGTCTTCGCTGAATATAGAAATGTGAAACTTTGAATTGATTCTGGCACACAAAGAAGTGAAATTAGCATGATGACCGACGTTATCTTTAGAAAGTATACATAGCTTCTGGAATGAAAAGGATGGTTAACTTTCCATTTCTCCACAGCTTACTAAATTTATTTCACCCAAGTGAAGTTAACTGCAGATCTGATTAATTTCAAACGATAGTCCTTGCAATGCCAATATAGTAACGCCAGCGAATCAGGAACAGAAATGTCCACTATATCTAGAGTATTTATTCCAAAGCAAGTTTATGCCCACCTACTAGAGCAGTTAAAGTAATGAGTAAAGTCATATGAAAACACTGGAATGTTAACACTGGAGTTACCCAAACTATATATATATTTTTATTTTTCCGTATGAGCAATATATGCAAAATGAATGTTGATTTTTATCCGGCATCTTATATATTTGTTACAATGATTTCAACATGTCAAATCTACGGGATCATTCTCAACAAAGCATCAGACAATGTGCAGAGGAAAATTTTCACCTGGTTAGACCCTGATTAGCTGTGTCATCTGCTGATGTTTCCAACTCACTCACTTCTGATGACCACCTTGCACGTTTCTTTCTTCGTTCTTGACAACTTTTTAAACTGTTCATCCATAAATATCGAGACAGTGGAGAAACTAAAAATCAAGGATTTAGCAGGCTAATCAGGCTATATATATATATTTGTCACATTATTTAAACTCCACTGGTATTTATTTCCACAATATGATACTTAATTGTTAATCTGAAGTGTGAAACAGGAACCATGTCCAATTACGGCATTTTACGGACCTTGACATTTACTGTCAACAAATTGCTTGAACTGCGTTTTTATTAATACATCAGGCTTTGAGACGCAACGGTTTTCAAGGAGTATATGGTTGCCGTACAAATTCCAACATAACCCCCATTCCCCGTTGAAAAAATCTGGGTGCGCCCTTGATCGCAGTTGCTTCAGTACGATGCTTTTTACAATTGCTTTTATGAGAGTTTAATATGTAAGACGACAGTCATAGCGTACTGGTTTTAGCTCGAGTATAGGCGATAAAGCATTGCCTGACCCATACACTATGACTAAGCTTATGCCACACGCCCGCACAATTAACTTTTCAAAAAACAAATGGATTTGAAAGTGCGCTGTATGATCAGTAAAATGGCTATAAGGAGATCTAAAAACCCTTATCAGCTGCTCAAGAAGACTTTTGTACATAGACTGTTTGTTGAATATTTGCAGCAATTAGCTTACCCAATTTGTCATTGTTTTCTTCGACAGGTTTTTCTGATTCAGGCATTTCAACTCTTTCGAGAGCAACACGTCTTGGTTTCTTCTTCTTAGCTGGTGAAGCTATTATGCTAAATACAAAGGAACTGGTTGAGCTATATAGACAATATGTAAGACAGAAAAACAATATAATTGATAACAATCCTGCGATAATTTCATTGGAAAAAAAAAAGAACGTAAAATTTTTCGATATATATCCTGTGCGACAATAAATCTAATGCCGATTAATAATTTATAATGAAGTTCAAACATCATTCAAATATTTGAACCACCAAGTTTGAAGAAAAGAAGATACATCACAGATATAGGATATATTACATTATATAATGTTTGCAAGCTTTCTTTTTCAAGTCAAATTAAGTGTTAAAAGTGCGAAAAATTGAATTGATTTCAGTAGGTGAAGCATTTTATTACAAAAATTTTTAATGTTAAAGACATCAAATACCCAAGATTTATAGAAAATACTCTTTGATCAGTAACAATTTGTTTAAAAAGATAGTGATTACAAAACATACCTTTCCGGTTCTTTTTTGTTATCAGACTTCTGCTGTTGTTTGACATGTTCTTGAAGTAACATATTCCAGTCAATAATATTTGGAGATTGGTTTCGAAGGTCTGTGTTCGTAAAAAAAATATATCTTAATATGGGTGACGGCATCACAGGTTCAAATTCAATGCCCCCACCTCACCCAGGGCGTAATAAATTATGTAGGCAACGTCAGAGGTCAGACACTGAAGATTTCAGGCCTTTTCGAAACAAAGTAGCTCCAAGAGCTCAAGTGGCCAGAATTTGATTTTCTTAAGAATTTGGAGCTTTAGTTGAAATTGTTTACAACCCAAAGACATGAGTCAGAATCAAAAAAAGTCAAAATTTACAGTGATGCCAGAAATGGAAATGCGAGGAAATTTTGTAACAATGAATTACCGAAGTTTTATCACTCTTCTCCTTCACAAGGCATGGTAATAGGTGAATAAAGCACACAAACCTTGCTTTCTTTCATGTTCACGATGATCTACAGAAATCCTATCACAAGCTTTCCCATCAATTCTTCTTCGTTTTGGTGACCGCCTGTCTCTGTCATCACACCTTCTACTCCTCTCAGAATAATGTGATTTTTCTCTATAATGGTTATCTTCTCTTGATCTTCTGTAAAATAAAGAATTAATTATGTTACGTATAAAATTACATTAAATTATGACTTATTATTTGCAAATAATTTATAAGGCCTAAAGCAAGTACAGGAATACATTGGTAGCCGAATATAAACCATTCAGGATTGGTGTCAGACTATCTATTTGTTGGAGCACGCGACTTAAATTTGAGCATCGTTCCCTTGATAAATAGTCAAGGTGCTCAGTTTGGGTGACGTCACCTCCCTCTACGGCACACTTTGGTGTTCAAAGCACCAAAATTTCAGTTTAAGTAACGCATCATTTTTGACTAGAATTTTTTTGGTCGACTACCGAATTGTTCGAGTATTGAGTCATTCAACTACCGAAGTAACACTGTAAGCTGTAACATCATAATAAAAACAGATGGTAGAATGAAGTTTTTTTCAGAAATTTACCTTCTATAATCTTCTCTGCTACTAGATGACTTATAATTCCTGTATCCAGACTGACACATTTCCGATGACTTCGTTCTAGAGCGTTCTCGGTGTGATCGGCTCATGGACTCACGTCTGTCAGACCTGTTTTCTCGATCATGTCTACTAGTAGAACGACACTCTCTTCGCCCACCGAGAGGAGACCTGTGTCTTTCATCTTTATATTTACTATAAGAAGATCTTTCGTCAGTGCTTCTGTATTTACTATGAATGTATTTGTGATCAGAATCATGTACCATGTTTCCACTTTTTGATACGCTGCTCGAATGTTTGTTGGATCTTCTTGAATAACTTCGTTCATGTGGATTTAATTGCGATTCATTATGGGTATTCAAACCATCATCAGTACCATTTTGAACATGGTGCTCTGTGTGTTTCAGAAGATTACCAGAGTGGTGACTAGTTCTTCTATCACTTATTACTTTAGTAGATTTTCTAGATGAACCAATATCATTGGATTTCCCAATATTAATTTTTGTGTTGGAAACCTTTGACGTATTCGATGATGTACTTTGGGTTTTATTAACATGTCCATATGATGGTTGTTTGGATAAATCAGAAACTTTTTCAAATACAGAGTCGGTGTCCTCATGCAACAAAATTTCGGGAATGTCTTTATCAAGAATTGCTTGTTTTTCCGTGATTTCACATTTTTCTTTGTCTGGCTTGGAATGCTTTACTGAATGCTCTCGTTTACTGGTACAGAACAATCGAGAAGAAGATTTTTCTTTATTTTTCGATAGACATGGCTCAAAAAATGAACTTTTCTGAACATTACTCAGACATCCTTGAAATGAGGATACATTATTAGAGCAGGTTTCACCTAAAAGAAATAGTGATATACCTAGAATTAAGCAGGTACGGTACATTAATTGTCTCTCCAGTACTTCTATGTTGCATGTTTTAAATTTCATTTAGGCATCATATTTCCTGAATTTCAGTGCTGCTTGTCTTGCTTTTATTGTTACTTCTTGTGCCAGTACCAGTGGCCAATATAAACAACTTCAAACACCTAGCTGGGCCACACAAATTGAAGGTAATAAAGGTATCAGGGTAAACGAAAGACTCAAGCAGCGACAAAAGCAAAAAACAATACCATATATGTATTTTTACTGAAGTGAGCGCCTTTTCAAACATAAACTGTCAGATTCAGGTTTTATGCTTGATGAGGAAGAACCTGAGTGTTGTGCAAGGGCCAAAACATAATGTCCTTTCGGGTTGTGGCCCGCGGGCCGACTGTTGCACACCCCTGATCTACTTCACTTAAAGTATTACAGAATTTAACGATCATTAATAGTGAGAACAACATTTAATTAGAGGACAACTTTATTTGAGTCATGACAACAGTGATGCTTCAGCCGTTTCAAAAACACTTACACAAGATCATTGAAAGAGAGTTTTTAGAGAGACCATGATGTTCAACTAAATGCAATGAACACTGTAATTCACAATACTTACCACTACTCAGGTTGCACACAGGTTTGCATGAAAACAAATTTGTTACAGCGGTTGGATTATTTTCCTTGCTAATGGCCGTTCTATTGAATGATTTATTCACTTTCTTAATTGATAAATCCAGAGGTTGTGGCACTGAAAATAGGTTTGTGGAAAATAAATTTGATGCATGTAGATTTATATATGCTTCTGAGTTCTGACTATATATTGTAACTTTAATACCACAATCATTGTAACTTTAACAAAACTACTTCTGCAATACAATCGGGAAACAACCAAGTCTTTAGGATTACAAAGGTTTAAAATGTTCTTAGCAATGAAATAAAATGATTTATTGATCGGGGCATTGTGAAAATGTGAGCTCGTTTCGCTGATTTTAAAAATACCCTGCTTATTGAGAAGCTTGTGCTGCATAATTATGTGTTTCGATATTTGTATGGTGGTTCATGTAACCGATGGTCAGATACGATTCCTCCGTCACCAAATTCATGCCTATAGGCTATGGACCTTTCCCCGACCTTTGACCCTCGAAAAATTCTTCCTATACTTTACCATTGCAAAATTTTCAGGGCTATTTTAAGAGTGCTTTTGCGAGTTGGCGCCTGTAAAATGGGGTATCTGTTTCAAACCATCATTATGATTCATCGCATACAACAAACTGTTTTTTAAAAGTACCGGTAAAGAATTTCAGGCTAGTCTATCACAGCTATTTCTACAATAATTTTTATTACTGCAATTAAATTAAAACTCCTAGGAAGACAGCGTGATCATTGAATTATCTGATTTTTATTTAAGTTTCCGAAACGCAACTGAAAACTAACGAATAGAGTTCAAAAACGCGAAAACGAGGTAATGTTTACAACCACGCTTGAAAATCTGTCTGAGTGAGAAAAGTGTCTGAGCGGATGCGAAAAGGGGGCATTGTTACGTCACTCTTCGCATCTTGCTGATTGGCCAATGTCACGAAATAAACAAGGAAGTCGATGCTCGGGGAAAGGTCCATAACGTAACTAACTCATTAATCCCATACCCAAACTGAATTGGCAATAGATGGCAAGGTTTGTCGTATAACCATGCGGTCCTATTGTCTGTTCTTGCCCCACCGTACATATATCAATTGTATCAATTATAAATTACCATTTCAATTAACATTCTGACAGAATATCAATATTGAAAACCCCAAATTAATTATTCTGTCAAGATATTTCCAAATTTAAAATAACTACAAAATCAAATCAACTTACTTTCAATACCAGATAACTTTGATCTTGCTATATGTATTAACCATTGAAGTGCTGCATTTTTATAACATCGCATTGGGTTTATAATCTTCTGAGAAGTTTCTGGGAACATTGAAGGAGTAAAACTTGTCCCAGCCTTGTTCTCTGTTAGATGAGTAAAAGTCTTCACAACACTTCCACTTTGACCATTCTTCAGACTCAAATTACTGGTACTGAATCCAAACGATTGCGAGCTATTTTGGATTTCGGCAATCAAACACTTCGTTTCTTGAGGTAATTTGTTTTCTTGATTCTGCTTTTGGTCTTCTAATCCTTGTTTACGAACACTTGAAAACAAATTATTGAAACGATCATTTTGTAATTTTCCTTCATTGGTGCCAGGAATCGATGCCTCTGGAGCCACGTAGGGTTTAGAAAGTTTCAATTCTGTGTTTAGTAAATTTGACTTTGGCCCTGGTTGCGAAAAACCTGATGAGCCTGATGAATTAGAATGTGGTGCATTATCCCCATCATTGGTTTCAACATTTGTAAATTCGACACCAGTTTTCTGTTTGTTTTTCTTTTTATCGCTTTTCTTTGATTTTGATCTCTTCTCCTGTTTGGTATCTTTTTTTGCAGATGCAAGCCATCTGTTCAGTTCTGGAGAAGGTATGATGGAGTCGAATGATGATGATATTGAATTTGTATCTGCTAAGTCTAGTAGCGATAATTCATGTGAAATGTCCGATTTAGAACATAAATTGCCATTTGAATCTACAGATAAGTCACTGAATGATTTTCCTTTCGATTTACGTTTCTTCTGTTTTAATTTCACTTTCAATTTCTCTCGTTTTCCAGTCCGTTTTTGTCTCTTTCTTGAACTGGTATTTTTCTTTTCTTTTGATTTCTTTGATTGTTTTTTATGTTTCTCTTTTTCAGGACTTGTTTTTACGACAACCTCCATAGCAACATCAATCATATTTGTAGTGACAGGTGTAGAAGATCCAACATCTTGTTTCGATTTTGAAGCTCGCGATGATGCATCATCAATCTTACTCAATGAAATTAAGTCCTCTGAAGTTCTATCTACAACAATTGGTGATTTTGAAATTGATGGAAACGTGGTATTGATATTGTCAACTTGTTCAGAAATTACGTTATCAGAAATTTTTCTGACATTGGATTGAGTTTCGATATTAGACATTTCCATTGCAGTAGTTTTGACATCAGTTTTAACATTGTCTTTACTCTGTTGGCTTGTTCCTTCATAGCACCCAAATTGTAGTTTTGTTTTGACTGCGTTTATTTGTTTTTCAACTGACTGCCGCATATTTAAACTAGAATTTTTATTATCTTCATTTATAATACCGTGTCCAGATTCTGCATTCTTTTTTCTGCTTCTTGTACGAAAAGCAGGAGAATTTGAGTTATCTGTTTCAAGTAGTACTTTTGTGGGTGTTTGGGAGGTTTGTTGTAATTGTATTGAAGCGTCAGACTTGATGTGAGACAAAGTTTCATCATTATTTTCAATTTTTGAAGATTGACTGCTCATAGACTTGATATGGCTCGAGGAAGCGATATTTTCGTTTAAAAAGACATCATCTTGAAATATACCAATTTCGTTCATTTCCGCAAAATGATCCAATTCAAAATCATTTTCAGAAGTTGAAGTTGAGCTTATTATTCTAGCTCTAGATCTTTTGGTTTTCAATTTTGATTTTTTACTGTTTGATACTCCAACATTTTTATTTATCTTTTTACCAGAGCAAAGTAAATTAAAATCTCGAATTTTGCTTCGATCTTCGGCACTTTTTCTCCTCTTTTTTGGCGTTTCACCTTCAACATCAACACTGATTCTTCGCTTTGAATAGGAAGAAGCAATTTTACCAATATCTATCAGTTGAACTCTGGGCTGCAAATCACTTGTTGTAATTTTGCTATCTTTTATGTTGACACAATCAAGCTGTGTTTTTCCATCAACTAATGTTTCTTTCGACTTGGGATCTTTATCTAAATTGTCAATTTTACACAGCTCTGAAGCGGTTATATTCATTTCATAGAAGAGCGGTTTCATTATAGTTTGTGGGTCATTGTTAGCCAATGGTACACCTTTCGGATTCAGAGACTCGTTTTCTTGTATTTTTCGATCCTTTTTCGGAGAAACTGAAGTTGATTTTTGGTTGTCTTCATCAGGCTGTACAAGGACTTGATGCGTCAGAGAACTTTCATCATAATCAAGTTCAAGTTGAGGATCAAAATCATCATTACAAATACTTGCATTTTGAATACCCTCACGAGAGTTTCCTTTCACGGGGTCATCAGAAGACGGCAAATGTGTTTTGGTATTTTTGTCTCCAGGGAGTATGATACTAGGCTGAAAAAACGCAGTCTCATCAGTGCTCTCTTTTGGTATATTCTGTATATTTTGCCCACCTTCACTTTTAGGTTCTTGACTGATACACTTTTCCATGGGTAACTCAGATTCTGATGACGTTTTATTTACATCACTGCTACATTTCTCACTTGATTTTAATTGGCCAAACTCGCTTTCATGATTCAATGATTCTTTTCCAAGAAAAGCTTTCTCCTTATTAGTAGTAGCATCATGTTGTAGTTTTTTGCCAGATACTTTCGTCTTCTTTTGTTCTGAATTTTCTTCTAACTTCTTTCCAGGTTTACGAGGTGAACGTCTCACAGGAGTTCTCTCCTTTTTAACATTTTGTTTAGACTTCTTTACTTCTAGTTTTTTACTTAAATCAGCTATCTTCATTGAATTGCAGTCTTTTGTATCCAAGCCCTTAGAAATATTCTTCTTGGAATCTTTCTTTTTACTTTCGAATTCACAGCCTTGTTTTGATTGATTCAAATAATTTTTTTCCGTGTGAATAGATTCAGGTACTGTTACTTTAGCCATATGGACATCAGGTCCTTCATCAGATGTCTTTTGAGAAATTGCTTTCTTCCCCAGATTAACATTAATACTACTATCTTTTTGTTCGATAACTATATCAGTACATATCCATCTTGCTTTCCGTTTTTTATAGCTTTTGTCATTTTGCTTTGTACTACCGAGCTGCAAGTTTAAAGGATGTGACTTGTTCATCCGACTTAATCTTTTGTAGTTTCCCATCGTCCTTGCTGACGCAGAAACCAAATCAGCACTATTATCTTTTAAATCTCCAGAATGTTTGTCTAAACTTATAGATGAATCATCATCCTTACAAATTGAATTTTCATCATTAGTTTCAAGATCTGTATAATTTTCATTACATTTATTCAATGGTTGATAATGGTGCACCTCAATTGACAGTTGGACTTTGTGGCTGGAATTCAGAGGTTCTGGAGATATTTCAGCTTCTTTATCATTCTCATTAATTTCAGATTTTTTCTTCGACGTAATAGATTGAATGGCATCCGCTAACTTTTTGGTAGCTTTTTGGTAACTTTTAGGTACTTCAATAGAAGATGTTTCGGACATTGTACCATTGACATCTATTTTAGATTTTGTTTCGGCTGTACTCAATTGAATGGCTTCCACTGACTTTTTTGTACATTCAGTGGAAGAAATTTTTGAAGACACATCACTTATATTTATATTAGTATAATCCTTTTCAGATAATTTGTCAGGTGAATCAGATCCAGCATCTGATGACCTTTTTTTTACTAATTTTTTCCTGGGTGACGTTTTGGAGATTTTTACAATAGTACAATCAGAATTTTTTTCCTTAGATTTTGATAGCTGAGAAGTGCTAGTCTGTTCTTTGGAAAGTTTATTCACATCATCTCTTTCGGAGTCTTCGGTATTTTTAAGAACGGAGTTAAGTTTCTTAGGAGCATGATCGGAACTTTTTGTTTCGTTTCCATTTTTATTCAGGGATATTGTATTAGTCCTTGGATTTATGGCAATGGCCGACGATTTCGCAACATCAGTAGTACTTTTTATATCACTGTTAGTTGTTTGTGGGATATTATAAAGATCCATAGAATACTTTTCATAAGAGCTTTGAGCTCTATCAGCAGTTAAACCAATGTTTTTTTGTTTAAAACTAACGCCATCATTATTATCAGATGCGTCAAGATCTCGAATATCAATCGCAGGGTTCTCTCGATATAACCTATCTGTTAGTTTAGACAAAATGGAATCAAGGCCAGTTGAAGAATTCTTAGATGTTTTGGCATTGAAGATAAGCATTCGATCGTTTGCAGTTTGTTTTTTACTTAAACTAATCGCAGATGGATCGTTTTTCACCTGTCTGGGGGACAAAGTTTTTGAATTATGAACAGTAGGACTTCGTTTAGAGTCTTTCACAGAGTGTTTTTGATGACTTAGCATTTGATCTTTTGTGGTTTGTTTTCTACTTCTTGAACTAGTCGCAGGTGACCGGTCATCTTTTTTCCCCCGTCTGGATGACAGCGTTTTCGAAGTAGGAACAGTAGGACTTTGTTTATAGTCTTTCACAGAGTGTTCTTGATGACTTGAGTTTTTCGTCGATGACCTTTGACCTTCCTGAACCTGCTTGGGTGACAATTTTCCCGAAGTACCAACAGTATGACTTTTTGTTTGGTCTTTCACAGAATGTTCTTGATTACTTGAGTTACGTATTGGTGTCCTTCGACTTTTTTGTACCTGTTCAGGTGACAAATTTCTGGTCATCGAAATATTGGAATTTTGAGGTTTGTCTTTTGTAGTTTGTTTTTGATCACATGACGTAATTGTCGATGTTGAGCGGCCTTCATGTACCAGGCCTGTTTCAGTTAGAAATGTAGAATTCATCCGATTACTCGCTTGATTCATTCTATTGTTAAATGACATGTGATATTGAGCAGATAGCATTGATTTAGAGGTGACAGTGGAATTTTCAAAACTGGATCCAATCACTTTTGTTGCCACTCCGACCATTTTTTCACCTCTATGTTGTAACAATCCATGCGAAGATGTCTGAGCATTTGTCAGTTCTAAAAAAATATAGCAACTGATAAACAGTAAAAGTTTCAATTATAAATGAAATATGAACTACCATATTTCTCCTTGCATAAATACGCACCAAAAGACAAGTTAGTGAAAAGTTCAGTATGGGTACCATTATTATTGCTTAATTGTTGTTGGACTGAGTATGCTTAAAACTAAACAATAATGATCTGATTTTAACAGACTCTGCCAAATAAAATCAAAAGACTTAAGAGTAGACTAATATATATGTGAGAATTATTTGCCAATTAAGCATAAAATGTCGATTAATATTTTTGGACATTTTTCAAATCCATGCATAATACTTAGCCCCTCATTTCGAAGGTTGAATCTACACATGTCATGCGTATAATACATGGATAAATATGGTCATTTCATTTATGAGGGTGTAATCAGCCTTGCTGGTATTCACTGTAAATTTTACTATCGCATCGAAATCCTGATTTTTAGCATCATTTTTCAGATCAAAATTTGGAATATATTATTATTTTAATTACGGTAACAGTTGGGGTTACATGAATACATACATTCATTATTTTGTTGCAAAGTTAATTCCTTTACGTTAGCAGAACTGAAATTTGGTCTAGGTATTCTTTCTACAATGCTAAAGTACTGCTGTGATATAGACATTCCTTATCCTAGATGCAATATTTATTTCTTGTGTTAATTTGATAATGAAGAATTTCTAACAAAAATTTGAATTTTTTCGTAATAATCAGTTGTTTCAAATCCCCAGTTTGATCGATTGATAAAAACAAACGCAATGATAAACAAAAAAAATAATTTTTCTGAGAGAAAGATCACATGTCCCAATGATTAGAAACACCTGTGATAATGATGAGAACAAAATGATCAAAGGATTAACTTTAAAGCTTAATTGAATCTCTCCAAAGAAAATAAACACTCAGCAAATGTCACTTTGATTGCAAATTATGTTCCCAAGATATAACATAATGTGCTCAGATTTGACTATTTAACAATGGAATATCTTGGCTCCTATATAGTAGGATTAATACTAGTGCAAATAGCCCAGAGTGTTGAAGTGTCCAATGTTAAATAGTTTAAATCTAAGCACATTATGTTATATTGTTAATCGACAAATAATAAGTTTCCCATCCATGCCACCCAATGTTTGTATAACTTGAACATTTATAAATTTGAAAAAACAAAACAAAAGTATCTAAATAAATATGATGCATAATATAGCATATCAACCTGAATCATCTGCTCTGCGTCCTTTATACAAAGCGAGTAATCTTTTTTGTTTTGCAGTATCATTAGCACGAGGTGCTATAGACTTTGGTTGATTTTTCGACACAGTCTGAGATTCTCTGTATTTAAAGAAATAGAGCAAAATAATAGATAAATTGTCGATTATTTGCTGTCTTTAGATAATAAACGAGTGCTAGAAAGTAGAATTTGTCGCAATTGACTGCTTTATTACAACTTAAAATGAATTGTTTTAAGTTTGATTCGAATATCTAAATGAACAGTTAGTTTTGTATTTGTAATCCATTGTTTCATTGATTGATTCAAATCAATTATTGGTTCATATTTTAAGTGGACGTTCAATAGTATAAGTAAATCCAAGATAAATGTGGCAACCATAATCTGACAAGAAATTCCATTAAGAAGTACTGAGAAAAATTCTCGTACCCATACCTTCCACCAATATAATGATTCAATAATCTATTTTTTCGAGCCAATTCAACCTTCGCAGTAGCAAGCAAAGATTTTAAATTCTGCTCTACATTCAGTTTCTCCTCTTTCAGTTTTTCACTCTGTAAAATCATTGTAAGGAGTTTATTTAAAATTACTCAAACTAAAGATTCAAGTCCAAAACAACACTAGACGTGTATAGCCGCAAAGATAGCATTCTGGAATTGTTATACATTCATAAATAATACAGAGTGATACAAAAAACAGGTCATTTAGGACATATTACAAGGAGACCATAATTTTTGGGTATAATCGTATACAAACAGAAGTTTGAGTGTTGAATAAATTTCTGAAGTAACTAAGTAAGTTCCGATAACGGATTTAACGGATGGGATTTTCATATGTATCCTAGTGGAGAGGAAAGCCAATAAAACAGTTTTATCACAAGGCGGACCAGATTCTATCAATTTGTTTCTAATTTATGTTATCACGTAAAGGAACAGTTTATTGTTAAAAACTGCGATGGACAAAAACGCTGTAGTCAAACAGTCACACTACAACAACAAGGAGTCAAACAAACCTCTCGCATACAATTATCCACACAGGAATTGAACTAGCAAAGCAATGTAGGGTAATCATTGCTACAGTCACAACTGTGTTCCTAGCACTAAGGCTACTGGTCAGAGAAAATTTACGGTCAACTGAGACTACTGATTTGAAAAAAGCTCATAGGCCTAGTTGTAAAAAATTTTTACTTTCACTCCAGCTCCCAGAAAATCGAATTTTGATGAGTTTTGATGACGAAAAATATGCTGATTAGCAGATTATTAAAAACTCTTTTGTAAAATTCCTTTATTTCCATTGAAAATCTTCAATTCTGCAAGCCATTCAGGGTATTTAACGAAGAGACTGGATGCAATTATTATCCCATAATATATGTTGACTCATATAATAAATGTGAGTCTTTGAGCGATAAAAATATGAATACAGACTGAAATATACCTTTTGCTTTTCTTCTACTAGATTCTGAAGCAATAATTTGTTTTGTTCTTCCAGTGAATGTTTTTCGGATAATACCTGTTAATTGAAATAAGCACAGAATCAAGATCAAAAGCGAAAAAAACCATCACTGTATCATTTGTTAATCAGATTGAGCTTATTGATATGAAAATAGTGGGAAAGCTGTGATAGGCCTAGATCTGGCCTATTTCCATGAAGTTTACATAGAATTTATTACACCCGGGGCGAAGGTGGACAGGAGATCCAAATCCCATATACAGCATATACAGATATACCATAGCTAAGTCTAGCGTTCTTTGGAAAATATTAAATCCGAAAGATACTGTAATGTCTGAATGTTGCATATTTTCAAGCATTCATGATATTATTTTCTAACAAATATGTAGCTTTAGACTACTGGTATAGGAGGTACCATAGTACTGTAGTAATAAATTTAAAAAAAATGATCAAAGCATTCGCCATTACTTCTGTTCTTACCGTAGCTAATTCTTAAAAATTTCCAGCATTTTCAGGCAAAGAATGAAAATAGAAGAATTACATAATTATAGATATTAGTGGGGGGATAACTGGATACGACCTGAAAATGTATTAAAAGTAAATCACCTCTTTCATGGTCAATATTCTATTTCCCTCTTCGCCATCCCGATTTTCATTTATCAGCAGATCTTCATATAAATCAAGTGTGCTCATTTGACTGGATTGGTCAGTTTTATCCTCCACTGAAAGCTTAGATTTCTCCATGACAATGCCTAGTTAGTACAACGTTTACCTGAAAATGTAGATATGTTTATGTCCAGCAATTACAAAGACCACTAGGCTACTGCGTTACCGCACCAAACCGAATACGGTACGGTATCGTACCGTACGTCCAGATATCTGCAAAAGCTAGCGTAACTGACTCAAGCGCAGAGCCCGCCGATCACGTCACGTGACAATAACATCGGCTACCGATATGCAAAGATCACTGACGGATGCGAAGAAATATGGGTACCGTAATATGGTATGTTAGTCGTTGGTAATATCAATGACATTAAACAATGTCATCGGTATTATAAATGAATGGGTACAAGTTTATTTTGATTCCGGAATCCGTGAAAACAGGTGATAAAATAACTGTTGAGGAAATAAAATTGATTGCATAATTGGGAGAGCAGGCGAAGCATCAGATAAGGTAACATAAAAAATGTAAATAAAAAGTAAGATTTATAAGCGATTCGCTCATTGATTCTTCATACAACGTATGTATGCATGTATGTTTATTTGATTTAAAATACAACAGTATCTGCATAATATAATTAAACAGTAGCCTATACCAGAGAAAAAGGTAAACAATTAGCAAATGACATATGTATAAATACTGTTTACACTTGATATGTTAATCATAAATTGTATGAGCCAAAAGAATGGAACAATGAAAAGTCTAGCATAAAATGCGGGCCGATTACTTAGGCGCTAATATATGGCAATTATTGTCACCACGTCTCAGCGTGATACCTTTAAATTTTTATAAAATATGATCTAGTTTGCATGAGCGACGATCCAGTTCAATGTCATTGATCCAACGAAGGGCTAATACACAATAAAATTATGCAGCGAGGAGAGACAAAAGATCAGTGGGTTGCCCGAAACTTGCTTCCCGATCAGTAGAAGTTTGTTGCATCTCTGATGACATAGTTAATCAAATCATTAGTCTTTTCTCCACTCTTTGCACCCTTCCTCAAAGCACGGTGCTCTAACAAAAGATGATAATTTGTATAAAATGTGAATAATTTAGAGTTATAATTATTGAACCTGAACTATTTGTTTATGTATTGGGTGGTAACAAACTCTGATGACCTTATCAGTCATACACCGAAAAATGTATATGATTTCATATTCGCTTCTCTGGCTTGAAAAAGGAAATAAATTCTCTCTCTTCCAATCTGTCTCGCTTTTGTACATTTTTCCACTGTTACTGCGTTTGGTTCGCGCCACCACGACGATATGTTGGCTATCCCCGGCTATTCGCTCTTTTTTGTTGAAAATATTACACAACTGTTTTAACCCAGACATTGAAAAATCTTAATCGACACAATGACATAAAATTATACCAATATTCTCTAGTATGTGAAAGAGATGTCAAACGTTCTGTTCTGAATTTGCTTTTCTAGGAGAGAGCATTGTACAATTGGCAAATGATCAGAAATACATTCTGCTGAAACAGCACTGTTAATTTTTTTTATCATATACGTTTGTCCAAATGTGGTCTATACAGGTAGTAGAACTCGAAGTTATCCTGGTGGAACAGTTTATCAGAGAATAATAGGTCAAGCTGTGCACAATAATAACAAAGAGGCTGGTATTCATATTGGACTCATCAATAAGATTATAGTTGAAATCACCCATTATATACTTATAATTCGACCTGTTCATCTTTGAGAGAACTTGGGACCAAAGATGTCGAAAGTTAGCATTGTTCAATTCATCAGTTACTGGTGATCTATAAATAGTACTGCAGGTTATTGTTTTATTTTCTAATGATATGTCAATAAATATGGATTCAAAAACCTTCTCACACATGATAATGAGATCCTTACAGACAATGTATTCCAGGTCATTTCGAATGCACAGACCAACACCACCACCTCGGTGATGAGATCTACTATTAGAGATGAAAACATACCCATCCAGTGGCCATTTGTATAAGATATAATCCATGTTTCATTTATAGCAATTACATGTGGCTAACAATTTAGTGAATTTACTAGTGCCTCAAATTTTGTGTAGTTTTTGAGAGAGGCTAAAGATCTGATATTGATTGATAGTCAACTTTTTATTCCACCCATGATTTCCCTTTTCCAAAATCAGGTGCCACTTCCTGGCGAACGATAAATTTTGCAAAGTTTAACGGTTTGCTCTTCAGCTTATGTATACCGGTATCACGATTGTAAATTAGTGTCAAACATTCCAATTTTGCCGGGGCGACAACACGAAATGTAGAGCGCGTGATAACAATTTCGCGACACCCGCGCTGGCATACATACATCAAGGGGTGACCGTACATTTGAACCCATGTGTATATCCGCGGGTTCAATCAATATGCGGGTGCTAAAACCCATGGGTTAGGTTAGTATGGGTACAAATATCCGTAAAACCAAAAAAAATTCCATAGGTGCAATGGCATGCAGGTGCAATTGTCATGGGTTCAAATGTACGTGGGTTCAAATGTAATGGAACCACATCAAGGTACTTGAGATTGGCAGACACGTGTGTGACATCACAATGGCCAGGGTCATCAAAATACGCGTGAAACATAGAACAGCATTCTAGTCAGAGGTTAAAAAATATGACGCAACTGCGCGAGATGGTGGCACTGCGCAATGGCGCAGATTAGAGAAAACATTGGGTATATTTCAGGGGTGGGCAAACTGAGGGGCGACCGGCGAACTGTTTTATTTGCGGCCCGCGAACGAGCCGACTTTTAATGCATCAAACAAAATATGATGCTAAATTTACTATCGTCTCCACATGAATTTATGGGGTAAACAAGTGCTAATAAGTATCATTGCAAATACGAAATTATTATACCCCGAAACCCGTGGCTGCGACACTGCTCATCTGTGCGACAGTGCACAACGTGAAATGTGCACATTCGAATGCATATATTGCTGTGAGCAGTTTGAACTAAGAATGAATTTCGTACTCGCTCGTCAGATCGTCATTTAAACGACGTACTGCGGAAGTTGCGAATTAACGAAGTTGCCATTTAATTTTGAGACTTTGGCCATGACACACAGATACAGCATCATCGGTGACCGTACATTTGAACCCATGTACATTTGAACCCATGCGTATATCCACGGGTTCAATCTATATGCGGGTGCTAAAACCCATGGGTTAGGGTTAGTATGGGTTTAACTATCCGTGGAACAAAAAAAATTCCATAGGTGCAATAGCATACAGGTGCAATTGTCATGGGTTCAAATGTAATGGAACCAGCATCATCTTTTACCTTGATACTATGTAAATAAAAACAATGTATCGTTTATTACTTATCGATTTTAATCGGTAAGTATGTTGATAGGTATTTGTCTGTTGGATGAACGCGATATCTCACGAAAGCAAAATTGAATATGCTCCAGATTTTGCATGTGCATTTATCATATGTCGGACCAGAAGCCTATTGATTTCGGATGAATTATGTCGTATAATTAGCGAGTTATTAATTAGTGATGGGACACAAGGTGTCACTATGGATTAAAAGCGCTGTTTTGGGGGATCCCCTAATTTTCGATCGATAAGTTTTCCGTCTCTGACCGATATTCTCGTTAATATATTTAAGAAGGCCACATGAAGACGTAATGCGGGGCAATGAAGTTGCCATTTGATTTTAAGGCTTTTAGCATGACACACAGAACAGCATCATCTTTCACACTGATAATATGTGAATGAAAACAATGTATCTTTTTTTAATATATTTAAAAAGGCCACATAAACGTCTCATTGTCGCAGGCTTTTATCCAAGAATTAGAAAGTGCCAGTGCGCCATAATTAATCATTATTTATTCGTCATCACAATCAATTTAAATATATCACGGAAATATGGCGAGACATAAGTGAACAAGAGAGCTATGCTCAAATATATGGGCACGTAGCGCCACATAATTTTGAAGACGTCATAGCAAAAAATAAAAGTAATAACCTTCTGGAGAAAAATTCCATCTTTAACCACTGAAAATTTCAAAGCAATTGGTCCAGTAATCAAAGAGAAAAGCGATTACTTCAAAACGATACAAACAACACAACAACGAAATGATTGTTATGTCCACTACACGTCCAAGAAAAGAGACTAACTTCATATGTGTGACGGGAGTCGCGAAGGGTCTTGAGCAGCGACATGACATCTACGATGCTGATTCAGCTTAATGAATGAATTTAGTTAACGCCAATGCTTCTAATTATTATTATTTATAAAACATAAAAAAATAACCAGACACCAAAACAATTGAATAACATGTATATATAACACAAAGTTTAATGTGGCGATTGTTTACAGAAATTAATGCGGCTCTACCAGAAATGTGTGTATTTGGCCCGCAAGTACATAAAGTTTGCCAACCACTGGTATAGGTAGTCAGTCGTAAGTATTATATATGATATAGGGTAGGGAACAAAGCGAGAATTCATGAAGTATCGGACCTCGAATTTTGACCAAAAATAAGAATTTCTGAAATTTGAGGCGAAATCGATGATTCAATGCCGAATTCGAATGAGTTACTACATTTTCCGACAACTTTTGACAATGATTTCTTTTACATGTATAACTCAAGTGTTCAACACCAGAGTATGATCAACAGCGGAATGAAATTTAAAAAAAAATGGGCCATCAAAAATTGACAAAAAATCATATTGCGCGCGAAATTGATGTTTCAACGCCGATTTAGAATATGTTACTCTATTTGCCAACAACTTTTGACAATGATTTATAACTCAAGTGTCCAACAACAAATTGTGATCACCAGTGGAACGAAATTTAAAAAAATACGAGCCTTCAAAAATTAACAAAAAAACACATATGGTGCGAAATCGATTATTCGACGCCGAATTTGAATATGTTACTCTATTTGCCGAAAACTTTTGACAATGATTTCATTTACATGTTTAACTCAAGTGTCCAACACCAAAGTGTGAACACCAGCGGGAAAAAAAAAACAAATAATACGGGCCTAAAAATTGATGGGAAATCAGATTTTTCAATATTTGGTGCGACATAGATGGTAGGACGCCAAATTCGAATATGTTATTACATTTGCCAACAACTTTTGACGGTAATTTCTTTTACATGTATAACTCAAGTGATCAACAACAAAGTC